CAGGCTGCCGCAGCACCTCCGCCTAACCCACGGAGCGCCTTTGCCCCAGACCCAGACGAGGAACGAAGAGCCATCGATGAGGAAAATAGGCGAACCATCGCGGCCATGTCTGATGCCGAGATTGAGCAAGAGCGAAAAGAGCTCATGGCAAGTCTCAATCCTGCTCTATTACAGAAGCTGCTGTTGCGGTCCAATATCGACCAGGGAAGCAATGAGCGCGACTTTGATGTTGAGCCTCCAGCGCCTGCGGCAACAAAACCTCCCGCAACTGAAAAGGCCGAAGAAGAAATACAGACCAAATCTACGAGCACGAAGAAAGTTTCCTTTGCAGCGTCAGGACCTGTGGACGAGTCCAAGTTGCCAAAATCCACAACTTCCCCCTCCATATCCGCCACCGAACCCTCCTCCGACGCCATAAAATCCGCCTTAGAGCAGCAAACAGACGACTCAATACACTTTCCCCGACCCCCACAACCGCCCGATCTCGACCCTAACGACCCGGCCTTTCTCAAGAACTTGCACGAGAAATACTTTCCCAACCTCGCCTACGATCCCTCCAAGCTATCTTGGATGTCCCCCATCGATCCCTCCGACGAAAAATCACCATACCATCCTTCCCAAACCGCCCTCAATCCTGCAGAGCTCCGCTTCGACTTCGAGGGAAACCTACTCGCGCCCAGCGTGGCGAGAGAAATTCCGACCGATAGAGGGCTGCATCACCACGCCGAAGCCCCCGAAGCAGCAGGATACACAATACCAGAGCTAGCAGTCACAGCAAGGAGTAAAGTCTCCAGCCAGCGCTGCATTGCATACCAAACGCTAGGAAGGATCCTATACCGCCTCGGGAAAGGCCAGTTCGGCGTTGAGAGCGCGCAAAAGACAGATGGACCTGTGCGAGTGGCCAAGAATCCGGATGTGGAAGAAGATGACGATGATGATGGGGAGTGGGTCGAGGAGGATGTAGGAAGTGCTATAGCGGGCGGATTGTGGCAGTGTGTTGAAGAGGGGAGAGTGATTGAGACGTTGACGGAGGAAGCGAATAAGGAGAGGGGACATCTTACTGCGCGCACGTTTGCGCAGGAGGCGCTGTGGAATTGGCGAAGGGGTGGGGGAAGGAAGAGACATGCTGTGTAAGGGATGATTGGGAAGACTATCAAATTTAACATATGTGACATATCGGACCTTTCTCTGAATACGATGATGCATTTCACGGGCACTACAGTTTTTTGCTGGACAGAGCGAATACGAGGATATACTGCATGTTCCTGTAACATGCCGTGTCCTTTGGCATTCTGATACAATTATAGTACGTGTGTAAAGTCTCTAGTCGCAAATTCGCCTGATAAGATTAGAAAGTAACGAAAGAGTAATGCTATAAGGATTATGCGTTTCACCGAGAGCAAGGTAGGAACCAATGTTGAGACTGTAGCCAACTAACAGACCAATTGTAGCACTATCTTACCTTGCGCTTCACGTCCTCACTGCCTTGGCCAATTCCATGATTTTACTCTCTTATCAGATTCTGATATTAACTCCGCCTGTGATGACTACCACAATCTGCCGACCCTGACACCACTAACCATACCGTCTTGACATGGCGCCTGCCGTATCATCTACGTCCCGCGCTGATCATCAGTTATTGACAAGAACCTGATTGTTTCCCGGCCCCACATCCTTCACTGTGGAGGGAACTTGCCCCCATACTTGTAATATCGCTTTCCTACGATTTTTCAAGTATCTCACTATGCACAATCTGATCCATAATACGAATATCATTGCTCTATCTATATTGAGTGGCTATAGCTAATTAGCTGTCATAGCCATACGTGCTAACACATCCATCAGTGCTAGTTTCCACGAAAACTCCTCCATAAATCTGTCCTTCGCCCTGAAATGGAATAGGCCCCTGATATCCGTTGAGGTCAATATTCGTCGTGTCTGTTGGCTTCTTCAGGATTCCAACTTGGAGTTGTCCAAGGCCTGTGTTGTTGTTTGGAGTGGCCTCAGTCACGAGCTGTAGAGGTGCTGCGCCAGCTGAATAGAACACTTTGAGAGTGCTAATTGAATATATCAGCATCTTGATTTTATGGGGAGAATACTTCAAGGTAGGGGAGGATGCTTACCCTTTCGTATGGTCTACCTGCACAGCAAAGTTCTGCCACTGATCGAACAAAATCGGGGTCTCGAAAATGAATTTCTTGTCACTGTTCTGGATCCTCCACTTTTCCCTCTCCTCTTTGGTATCAATACTATTTCCTCCGTTGAATGGCAACACCAAGCCACCAACAAACGTGAATTGATTGCCGGTGAAGTCGGCCCTCTCATGCCACACATTCATATACTCGTGAGAGAAGTTGAGTGGTTTTTCCAAATTCTGGTGGACACTCCAGTGATAAGTGACAGTGCCATTGTCAGCTGCATCAGCCCGGTCACCATTCTTATCGCCTGGCATTATAAGGCCCGCACGACGAATATAGGTCTCTGGCGGAGACCTGCGTCCCTTGAAGATGGAACGGTCATCGATAGTCACTTCGAAGGGTTTGTGGCGGCTGGATTCGTCGAACGGCGCTAGGATAGTGTTTGGAAACAGAAGAATGGAAGACCAGCTAATGTTCTGGCCCTTTGTCCAATTAGGATCATACACGGATGAGTTGGTGTCGAACCACTGGAGCGTTGCATCGATTGGAATGCGGCCCTCGAAGATGACAGGGCAGACGACGCCAGAGGCCTCATCAGGACCGGAATTGCGGCGTGATCCAAGCTGTGGAACCAATGCCGCAGCAGCACAGCCGATGAAGAGAAAAGAAAGTTGGAAGCGCATTTCGAAGTATTCTTCAACGAAATATTGCTACGATCGTTCCCCAATATCCAACATCGTGCATTTATACATGTCCTCTCCACCAACAGTAACGTTGTTTGCATGCTCGAAACATGAGACCGTTGGGGTTCGGCCCGTTCTTTGCCAATATCTAATCCTTACCGTGCAAGGTACATTTTTGTCCGGACCCTCATCTCCGCCCTCTTGGCGGGGGATGCTGACATGCTTTTAGGTTTACACTTTGTCCACCTTTTGCTAGTTCGCCGGTGGATCCGTCCTACCGGGAGATCTCCAGCGTGCACGATGCGGGGATATGTACAATGTTAATTACAAGCATAAATGCTCGCCGTATGCAATTGGAAATTCGCATGTTGGCGTGCATACCGATTGTTTAATGCATCAAGCCATATTTCTCCAGCTGGGTGTTTGTTGGCCCAACAGTGACTTGGGAGGAACTACAGTGGGGAGGAAAGTTTGATACATGATTTTTTTGTATACTCGGTTATTACTACACAAGATGGCAACTGGTATTCTTGAGCTGGTAAGTGGTCAAAATCAAGTAGTTGGCATGAAAATTATCGCACGAACTATATTATCACTTGGCCGCGTCCCTTGGTTTTTATGCCAACATGATGAGCATGTTTTCGAAGAACGACTCACGAACATACCGGTGAGCGAGTAAAATCCCGGCCCATCAACCTGAAAGAAGATTGGAAACTTAGTTTGTGGTGTTTTGGGTTGATATGGCCAAGCTCATACCCGTAAGATTCCTGCGTCCAATGGAAGTTGTTGCTTTGGCCATAAGCTATTGGTATCGGCCTTTTTGTGTCTAATATACACTAATAGGTACGGTAAGTATGCTTCGCTGGCTCCGGTGAACAGTTCGTAGAGCTTTCAAGGGCACCGGATCTTACTGCGGCTTTAGCTGCATATTACGATCTAGCTATGCAGTGTCTCCTGCAGGTACAAATGCAATCTTATTAGACTCTGATAATTTCCACTCTCATTCCCCAGTCTTACACTTAGATTTTAGCCCTTACTCGAGCTAGCAGCCGTAATTGTTGGCAGTCACAGCAGTGGTTAGCCAAATCAACCAAGGACGTATTCGGTCAAGTTTGCAACATTCTTCAACGCCTTTTACAATCTATCAATGCCACGACACGATTTCGAAACCAAGAAGAATAGCAGAAACAGACAGGTGATCGGAACAATAGTAACACAAAACGATGGTAGGTGAATTCAACCAGCTTGTATGCCTGAATGTACTGGAAAGTTCCTTTCTCATTCCCCATGTACAACGAGAATGAATTTATTTCTTACTACCTGGAAATTGGGAACTTAAAGGAAAATGTAGTGTATGTTTTACAAAAGTATTAAGCTTCGGCTGCAATAGGTTATACATATCGATTTCCCAGTTCTAGGCTTTTTGCATATGCTCACCCTTACCTCTATCTCTACCAATAGTCTATATAACTATTACGATAGCTCTGCTGTACGTTATAGTAGGGGGTGCTTATTTCTTTTAAACATAATAACGGTATCAAGTACAGGAAGGGCAGGAGGGATAGATCTGTCTAGATTTCGGTAGTAGGCACTCCTATGATGGTTTCAGTGTCCCGGATGCCCGGGATCCCATATATCCGTCGTTCTGGAACCAAGTTAGCTCTAATAGCGTTGAATCAGCTTGTCGTTGTATCATCGTCTCCCGGTCGACCGATGAAGTCGGAGATAAGATCGCCCAACACTGAAAGCTTAAAGTGCGCTTGAAGCCTTGATTGCTGTTCCATAACCACTAGTATTTTTTACTTAATATAGAATTCGGTATAGTAAATCTAGACTTACTGTATTTGTCTTATTGGATTTTTGTTTTGAAACTATATTGCAATGGTGCTGATATTTCGTAGTAAATGTAGGTCGTTTTGGTAGGCCATACCACTTGCCCCCATTGACTAAGAGACCGTGATCTTTAAGTTCCAAACAGAGGCCGGATTACTTCTCTACATCGTGTATAAATTAAATACACAATGTAAACCGACTCAATCCAATCTACTCTGCGACACCTGAGTTCAGCATACCACATCATCCAACCCTAATCATGGCTTTCACTGACAAGACCATTGTCCTCATCACTAGCGGTAAGCTAACACGCTCCTCACCGTCATACAAAACCTAACAAGCCCTAGCAAACACCGGCATTGGCTTCGAACTAGCTAAACAATTCCTCTCCGATGCATCCAAACACATTCTCCTCGGTAGCCGCAGCGCCTCCAAAGGCGAAAAAGCCGTCCAAGACCTCCAATCTCAGAATCCACCGGGAACTGTTGAATTCATGCAAATCGATGTCTCGAAGCAAGACTCCATCGTCGCCGCTGCCAAGCACGTCGAAGTAAAACACGGCCACCCCGACGTTCTCGTCAATAATACTAGAATCTTTTCATCAGGCGATCCAGATGCCGCCGATATCCAGTCCCTCGTTGACACCTTTACTACCAATGCCGCCGGTCCTTGTGCCACCGTGAAAGTTTTCGAACCACTCCTTTCCCGTTCCGCGTATGTTTCCCACTCCTCCACCACCAAAACCGCTTCCTCGTACCATTACTACCATTACTAATTCGTTTCCCCCTCTTCATCTACAGTAGCAACACCCCGCGTATCATCAACGTGACCTCAGTCCTAGACTCCATCTCTACACGCCTAGACAAATCGAATCCCATCTACAACTTCAAATAGTACTCGTACCGCTTAGTTAAAGCGGCGCTTAACATGGCGACTGCGAGTCAGCATGCTTAGTATGAAGATGAGAGATAGAAGGTATTCGCGTTTTGTCCAGGTATTACGGAGAGTGAAATGACACGGCGGATTAAAGTGAATGTTGGGGCGAAACCGACAAGGCAAGGGGCAGTACCGCTGGTCGGGATAGTAAATGGAGAGAGGGATGCGGATGCAGGGGGATTTTTTGACAGCGGATACTGAGAGTGGGGTGTATGAGTGGTAGGTTTTTTTAATGTAGATCCCTCTCGTTTTTGCTGTCTTGCCCAACCTTACTTCCATACCTTTTGGTGCTGTGTGAGCGGGATACGTTACTGCAATATCTTCTAGTGCTAGATAAAACGTGTCAGGGGCTTAGGGATAGAGAGGCCTTATCCAGCGAGAATCTATTTATACAGTACTTACAATCTCGTCGCCTCTTTAAACCCTGCGGTTTTACCGACAACTTTCACATACTTTTCGATAGTAGGACACGCGTTATTGTATCCCTATTCGATGGCAGAGCTAACACGTTTCTTACATTTTTCTCGATCAAAAGCTGTATGCTATTCGCTAACCCACATTGCTCAACTCACGGACGTTTTCGTTGCCAAGCTTTGTGAAGCGGATCGGACCGGTACGTACGTACGTAGTAGTGTTAGCGACGTTCCTCCTGGCGATCTCCTCAGCGATCTTGCGACCGATGTAGTAACCGGTAGTTGTGTGGTTGGGCACGAAACGGATGTTCGTTTGTCAGAAGGAGAGAAGGAGAAAGGATCCAAGGACCCGTCAATCTGCTTGCGTGATAGTAGTGTAGCACTTCAACCGCTTGCTATGGGGCCTGGCTTTTTCCAGCACCTACTATCTGCAAAGCGAAAGCTGAAGCACTGCATGAGGTATAATAATACGCATTAGACAGTGATTCTTTGTAGACGCCTAACCATTCTTTGTATTTCCTGGGACCGACTACAGCCTGTCAAAAAAAAGAACTTTGTACACTAAATCTTGTAACGCATACATGCTATGCTATGCCCCTATACACGCTGAATTATGCATTATAATATTGTAAGCATCTCATCTACCGGAAATGCGCCTGTTTTTTCGCTGAACCGAACTTTTGCAAGTGTAAAAAAAAATAGAGAAAAAAAGAAAAGAAAAGGGAGAGAGAGAAAGTAGAAGGGAAAATAGTCGTAGCTGGCTCTTTCCCAATCATATCATGGCACCATGTCGGTATGACGGTAAAGGCAACGGCTCACCAATCTCGTAGTTGCCAAAGAAGTCTACAGTGCTCTTTCGCCGCTCCTCCATGGCATCGCTGAGATCGCGACTGATGCAGATTTCCATACCGCCGCTCTGCTCTGTGCCTTTGCGCTCTGTCGACATCTTGTATCCGACACCAGCTGACGATGTCTGTGGTATCGCGGATGAAGGACTGAGATAAGTAGAGGTTGTATGTTTGACTTTGCCAGGGAGATCGTTTTCACCGAGTAGACCCAGCCACCGCAGCTCAGCACAGCGCTTGAAGACGCCTTCGAGGTCAAAAAGGTCCTGCATGGAAAGGCTGTACATTTTGCCGCTGCGGTATTTCCAGAAGAAGAGGACAGAGAGCTCGATCGTCTCAATGTTTGGTAAGGGTTGGATAATCTTGTCTATGGAAGCCAGTAGATTGTACGTCATGCGCATTTGGTCCTTTAGCATCCGGTCTCGCGTACCGTTTCTCAGCGTCGTGTAGTTCCACTCGAGATAGAAGCGAACGTGCGTTGTGTGCTTTAGCATAGGTAGTCTAAGGATATGCTGCGAGAATTCAAAATATTCATTGTTGGTCCGCGTGTTGCGCAGCTCCGCGTGGAGTGTGATTTTACTGCGCCGGAAATAGTTTTGCAGCAGTTCCTCGCGGATTTGCTTGTTAATCAAAAGGAGCTCCGGGCGAAGGCGCAAAGCGTTGGGCACCGAGGGTCCGTATCCGAAGATGTCATGTCTCCAAGGCTCTCCGCTGGACATTTCCGCACTCCATAGGCAAGTGTGTAGCTCTGGCCGGTTCTTTGAAGTGTCTGGCAAGACATAGCTGAATATTTGGTCCCGGATTTCCCTTGGAAGCGCCAGTAGTGGAGAGCTGAATGTGCTAGGGGTGAGTTCAAGAAGGATTTCGAGTTCGCGGAAGAGAAGACTTTGACGGTGCTTGTAGAGGCCATCTGAGCTCCGGTTGGAGACCATGGAGAGCTTGTTGCTCATTCGTTGGTGCAGCGTGGCCATGTGTCGCGTGCGGGTGTGAGTAAGTATATGTAGGGTTGGGTTTAGAGAGAAGGAAACGGTGGACGTCTAGTGCCCGAGTAAGCGCTATATAGGTTAGTTGTTGTCGAAGCCGGTCAGTCCCAGCTAGTTAAAATGATGGAACAGGCTGGTCGTCGTAACCCACAACAACGGACTCAACGTGCAGATTGGATTAAAGTGGCACCGCAAAGTTCCTTCGTGCTGACACCAAGGGTTCACAGCAGCGTGTTTCGATGAAAAGGGGACTATCTGCGACGCCATTGCCGTGCGATAGGGGCGAGTCAGTCATGGATGGTGCCTCTGCTGACTGCGTGCCTGCCGCAAGGATCCGTCACAGAGCCCGTGCCGCCTCGCGAAGAGGATTAGTGTGTCACGTGTCGTAGATCTAGCCGACTCGCTACTGCTGTGCTGCTGCTGTGCTGCTGCTGTGCTGCTGTGACACGTTTCACCTTGGCGCTTCAGAACCTCCTGCGTCCGTCAATCCTCCAGGTTTCACATTCTCAAACACGTCCGGAAAACCATATCGGCTTGTCGTTCCACGCACGCGGAATGCCCACATGTCGCCCGTCCCAAAGCCAAAAGTAAAAGGCTCCCTTCTGGCATGTGCGTGGGCGACTAAACCAGTAGTTACTCTTTTTCTTTTCGCATCCATTAAAAATAGTCTGTATTTTGATCTTGTCGGCGGCCGTCTAAAATTAACTAAATAGCGGCGGCTCCAAGGTGGGAGACGAAAGCGACATGCTTGCGCCGTTCATGGTCTAGGGGGGGATCATAACAAAGAAAAAAAACGAAGAGACGAACAAAGGGCTCAAAGCACATTTCATGATTCGACCAGCTCGGTATCGAAACATTGGCAGTCGGCAATGCTGCCACCAGGCCTCCACCCGCTCAGCAGCGTAGGGCATTTCCATGCGACGTCCATGTCTGAGCATTGGAACAGGACATTCCATATCCGCTCCATCGTATATCCGAACCAAGGCTTGCTCATGGCATCTTCTCGGCCCTGCAGATAAGGTTCACTGTGCGCCCAGCTCTTCTCGTCGACAAGAAGTTTCCAGAGATCGTCGTATATTGCTTTGTCAATGCCGCGAATCCGCGCAGCGGTAGCAACAAACTGGCCCTTGTAGCTGAGCAGTATACTGTCGCGCACCGAGTGGTCGATCCTTGATTGAATCTGCGGAAACAGCGATGTCTCGTCCTGCCAGCCCTGTTTGTCGCCACAGTCGTCACTATGACAAACATTGCCTGCCCATCCCAGGTTGAGGAATCCAGTTTCGTTTACGCGGAAATACCGTTGGAAAAAGGGATAAAACTCTCGTGGGTTGTGAATGTCGGCTTGAAGAAAGATAGTACGCTCTGCAAGCTTGTCCCAGCGGTTGACGATATGGTTGAGGTACGTCTCGGCTTCTCGTCCCACGTTTGGAAGCTTAACGACATTGTGCGCCTTTGTTTCTTGCTTGACCTTCTCTTCGTCTGCCTGGCCATCCTTGAGATAGATTGTAACAAGAGCTTGTGACATTTGCGGCATGGTATGTAGCTTCGATATAAGCGAGGCCACGTCTTCTGTCCGCTCCTTGTACATGCTGATAACAACCTCTAAAGGAGTATTTGCCTCGTACTTGAGATCCAGTCGAGGCTCGATGTGTGGGTATTGGCGTTGTCCAAAGTTAAAGCTTACATACGCAGTCCATATCATGACTAATATAATGCTGCTGACAGACGAGCGGAAGCCGTGGCTGTAGTCTGGACGGCTCGCTAGCATGTCTGCTTCTCCGGCCTCCTCGCTATCGTCTGATCGAGTTCTGGGCGAGCACGGGACCATATCGTAGCTTCCATGGGGATCTTTCGGCTGTCTTGCTTGCTTCCAACTTGACCTGTAAACTTCATGGCCGCAGATGCACAGGACTGCAAGGAAGTAGAAGCACAGTTGGTACCAACTGGAGTAGGAACGGCGCAGCGAAAGAGTGGTAAAACAGCCAATGATGGCTGTCATTGTTAGCTGTGTGAATGCATCGCTCACACGTTGCGATGCGGTGTAGCCGGATGATCGGCCATTACCGATTGTCTCTATAGGAAACAACACTGATCCTCCTATCAAAAGCGCTGCTCCAGTTGAAATGGCATTCAACGTACGCAACAGCAAGTTCTCCCTGTCAAGTAGATTTCTATGCTCGTCGGGCCAACCGCTGAGTGCACAAAATGCTGTTATTAGAATACCTATGGCAACTAACCAACTGGCATCCGTGCTTTGGCTAAGCGAAACCCCTGGATAATGCTTCGAGGCCAACTTCCTCAACGCACTCGCCAAGCCAAGCATAAGCATGGCTAAGATTGATGTTATCAAGCTTGGCACCATGAGGCGGTACTCTACGGACAGGATTCCGGTACAAGCCAAGAGGTGGATGCCCAAACGTAGCGCATCTACGCCTGAGCGGGACGTGTAACTGAACACGTGCAATATCAAACCCTCAGCGAAGAATGCAATCGTCTGGCCAGATTAGCACAATGCGGGTTGCAGCAGCATGGAATAAACTTACCGCCAACATGCAAAGCAGGGGCAGGTTTGAAGTGTGCAATACGGCTTGGGTTATACATAGCGCTGCTACTGCTTGTAGGGCCTGTGAAGCTATCACCAGAAGTGAGGCTTGGATTGGTCGTCTGGGTTGCTCTTGCTCGCTGCTGCGCTCTTGATCATTTTTCCGCCATAGGTGTGAAACGAAAGCGAGAATGGCAGTGGCGACAATCTGACAGATGTACAACTGCAAAGGGTAGTGCAGGTTTGCCTCGACTAGGAGATGGCGTGTGGTTAAGAGGGAGGTGACAGCACATGGCAACCAGACTAGCTGGCGGTGGTCCTGAAGTCGATCGTACACGGCCCGGCATTGCGACAAGTGGTTTTCATGGGTACGTTGGTGGCCATGAGCTGTGGGCATGGTGTTTTGGTGCAGAGGATGATTGCAGGCAGGCGGCAGAAGAAAAGACGTGGCGAGGGCTTAGGCGTGCAATGTGAAGACGCGAGTGCCGCGTGGGTCAGCCCATGCGTTTGGCGGACCCGAGTTTGCATCCACCGGGTCCAGACGTCGCCTATCAAAACGGCTGAAATAAGAATGTGGGCGATTGCGAGGGAAAAGAAGCAATTGTACAGACGTGTCGAGGAGCTGAGATGAGGCTCCGCATGGGTCACTGACCTACCACTTTGGTGACTGGGTCTTCCCATCGACCACAAAGGGGCGCAAGCCTAGACCTCTTTGGCGGCATGTGTAGAGGCATCTCGATCGCAAAGCCTATTAATCTTAAATAGCACAGTAGATGGGGTAGGTGAGGCAAAAGCCGCAGGACGATGGCATCTTGGGATTGCGTGCCTAGCCTAGTTGGAGGCCTTGTTGCTAGCCAACAAAGAGGCGAAGTCGAGCAGGTCCTTACGAGAAACAAATGGCGGTGGTAGTGGCACGAATGCGCTAAGCCTGTTACGCGGCATTGCGGGCCGAATGTTGATCCGCATGTTGGCACTCGCACTCGCACTCGCACTCACTTTCGCTGCCAGGGCTGAGGCGCACCTTGTCGTGCTCAAGCTGCCAGCAAGCGGTTCCAGTTAGTTGGCCTGATACAGCCTTGACAATTATACTGCATCTTGGTATGCTCCCCTTTGCAGCGAAATAACCATATGCGAAGAGTAGCGCGCAGCAAGAGGCGACGCGACGAGCCAACGGCGGCATCCAATCAAACACCAAGCTAGTAGTCGAGTATGAGGCACTGCCCCCGGTTGAGGCCCGCAAAGCGCGGGGATCAATTTCATCAAGAGGCATTGCATACGTACACACAGTATCTACAACGACGGGGGGGCCTGAGAAACGCGGGACAAGACGAGGTGAAACCCTCAGTTTTCAGGCAACACTCTTGCAAATATAAACAACACCAACATTGACAACCATCTTCACAGACATGCGGCAAAAGGCAAAAGCTCAAACTCAACACCCCTCGAACTAGCGCGCGGGGGCGGCAACAAGGTTTCCATGTGCCACCCCCCTTTGATCTAAAGTCGCGCAGGCGAGGTGAGATACGAACGATCCAACTGCGATATTACATAATTCTCACTTTTCAAGGAGCTGCCCATCAGCCTTGCATGATGGAAGACGTTACCCCCCCTTGCCCCGTCTGCCCCGTCTGCCCCGTCTGCATTCTTAGAGGTAGGGTTCAACGCCAAGACGAGTGGCTGTCCCCGCGCTTTTCGGTCGACCTGCCCCATCCGAAATCCATCTTTTCCACATTTCCCGTCCTTCTAGCGCGACACTTTTGGGCCCGTTTTTCCCTTGACATTTCCACGTCGAGTATGGGGCTGTACATGTGTACCTGTGCGAGTTTCAAATGTGACATCCAAGATGATGCGGCAACGACAATCGCATTGGTTCTCATGTCGTTCCAGACACACCCTGGTGTGGCGGGTGCAACCCCAGAATACCACGCCTGAGCAAAAAGCTACCGTAGTGTCGGCATAGACGGGGCCGCTCTGGCACCACTGTTGTTGCCGCTCGATTGGAAGGAGTGCCAGAAAACGGCGCGCCGTGCGATTACAGATTGTCTGCTAGCCTAACGTCAGCAGCCTGAGTCTGGAGCTTTGGAATAACCATATTCAACAACACTCTAGGGCAAAAAAATTCATCATATAGGCCTCCTGGGCCAATCCCAGCAACACATCACTGCAACAGGCTCAATCTTCACCATCTCCAAGGTTGATGTACTTGCGGCGTTGTTATAACATTATGATTACGTATGATGTTGTAGCCTATTTACTTCATAAATCGTGTCTTAGTTGCTGCCAGATACGCTCTGGACAACAGGGTACAACGGCAAGTACGGCTTATACGCACTCTGGCACTTTGCGTTGAAATCAGCAGTGTTGCCAACCTCGATTTCGAGCTCGTTTCCTGGTACGCCCAACTTTCCAATGGCACCACTCTTGGGAGAGGCCTTGGCCCATCCAGGGCCGGCTTTGGGGTTCTTGATAAAGTTTACAAACCAGTCGTTCTGGAAGTCGGCGAGGGCCTGCTCCTCTTCGGTCACGTTCTCGACACCAGCAAAGGCATCCTTGCCGCCGAAGAAGAATGGAATCTCAGCCCCGTGAGTGGGTGGGGAGACGGGCAGAGGAAGAATGTTGGCATAGTCGCCAAAGAAGCGGTAGATCCAGGTATCCTGCTTCTGGCTGCGCACATCAACAAGGTAGTCGACGGGGCAGAAAAAACGCGCGTCGCCGTACTGGGCACCGCTCATTGCAGAGACACTGCTGAAGTCGGCAATGTTGTAGGCATTCAAAAGGACCTCGTCTGGGACGTTGGCAACATCGGCATTGAATGAGTTGATCCACTTAGCAAAGTCGGTGTTCTCGCCACCATAGACCAGACTGAATACAGCACCCTCCTTGTCAGAGTTACCTGTTAGGAGAGGAACGTGGGACGCATATTTGCCAGCTGCGAAGCGAGCTTCGTAGTCTTGGTAGCGGGTCTTCTCGTCCACAACTGGGGTAAAGTATGTGTTGTAGGTAGAGTTGAAGCCAGCAGTTTGGAAGGCATACATGTCGACCTTGCGGAGACAGTCAAGCTGACCCGCACCAACAGGGCAGTTGACTTCCTTTGCGACGATATCAAGGGCTTGGTTGGTAGGTGCCACAGCCGGACCCGACTTTGCGTTAGCCGCCATCTGAACCGCACCAGCAAGCCAAGTATCAGGGTGGTTCCATAAGTAATGGTCGACTTGTACAGAGCCAGAGGAGTGACCTCCAAAGACAACGTGGTCAGGGTTGCCGCCAAACTGGGCAATGTTGTCACGGACCCATTGCAAGGCCTTATCAACATCCAGGATGCCGAAGTTTTGCGACTCATTGCCTCCCGCCAGTTCGGCCGAATTAGGGTAGGCCCACAGGCTTTCACGTGTGTTGAAGCTAACAAAAATAACACCCTTGTTGGCAAAGTTGCTACCGACGAGCTGGGGGTTGCTGCTGGATCCTGTCACCATGGCACCACCATACATGTACACAAATACGGGAAGACCAGAACTGCCATCTGCTGATGGCGGTGGTGATGGTGCCTGAGGTCCTCCTGGAGGCGGGTTAGGTCGAGGATGACAAGCACAAGGGGGAGGGGGAGGCCCACGGCTTGCCTGGGCTTGCGTAGATGGCACCCAGATGTTGAGGTTCAGGCAGTCCTCGCCCTGCTGGGACCATGTGGTGGTGGTGATTGCTTGCGGGCATGTTGGCCCATACTTTGTGGCATTGAGTACCTCGCCCTTCTTCAGTCTCCTTGCATTTTGAGGAGCCTTCCATCTGCAAAGCAGAGTCAGTACACACGGGTCAGACGCACGTGGCAGCAGGGTATTACGTACCGGTTCTGTCCTCCAGTAGTTGCCGCAAATGGGATCCCGAGAAAGACGGAGTTGCCATTGGAATCGGTAAAGCCTTTTACGCTTCCGTCCTGGAGGGACGCTACACCATCTGCGACAGCCGTCCTCGCGGCTTTGGGCGGGAGTGGATTAGCGCCTGCCACAGCGGCCTGACCAAGGACGCCAACAAGCGAGAGGCTCTGTAGGCCACTGATAAGAGAAGACGGGACCCTCATGATGCAAGACACAGGGAGGATGGCTGAAGGAGGGAACTATAGAGTTTGGGTGGTGGGTGCAGATCTTGTTCGGGCGTCCACATGGCTATATACCTAGGGCACCATGCTGGCGGGACCAAGTTGGAGGTACTCAAATCTTACCGCCAATCGTATGAAGGACCATGTCACTGCCAAAATGCCGAAGTGTTGCCAGGCAATAGTTTAATGGGGCCCTTGTGGAAGAGTCTTTTCATCTCCGTTGATGCAGGTCCTGAGTGGACCCATGGACGGGGCCGACTCAGGTTCTATGGTTCTGGCCGGACTAAGCGAATCCTTCCAATCGCGACCCCCGCCTTATCGATCCAGTCTAAGCACTAGAAGCGCTAGACTCCGAGCGCATGCTTTCCACACCCACTTCGCTACTCGACACTGCCGTGCTCGACAACGCCATGTTCGGCTCCTTGCCATGGCATCGCCACAAACCACCACGGATGCTCGGATTTACCACTTGCCGCCCTCTACATTTTGCGCGCCGTCGCCCTAGGTCCCTGAGAATGTGACACTGTCGATAAAGTTTCTGTCAGGCCCCCCGCAGCAGGAGAGAAAAAAATAGGGTAGCTTTGCCATAACCATCTGAATCGTCAATTGTACGAGCGAACATGTGACTCGCCACAACGACCAGGATGAGCCCATCATGTCTGTTTGACAATTGCCATCTCCTAGTCGATTCCCTCGCCTGCATCAACCATCTGGCCACTCGCTGGACGCCGACCTCCCGCGTAAGAACTGTCGGCATCCGCGCCTTTGCACTTGCGCAATCAAGTTAGCACTTTGCAACAACTGGTCCTTAATGATCTTCCCAGGGCACCTCTGTCATGAAGCATCTTAGGGGTTTATCTGTGGAGGTATCCTTAAAGATCGGCACTGTTCGCGTCAGGTCCCTGCTGTTCGTCGCCGTCACCCTCGTTCGCGCATTGCACTCATAGCACACTCGCCCCAATTCGCTGCCAAAGAGGTCCAGGAGAGTGGAGCTGTCAAGCTTGACAGCCATAAGCCTTCACCGGTCCAGGTCGGTCCAAGTCGGTGTGCGAAAAAAAAAACGGAGAAGCACGCCATGGTTTCCAACCAACATGGCCAGGTGGTAAGTACTCTCCCCCTCTTCACCCCTTTCAATCTCCAAGTCCAACGCTTGACGATAGCGTAGGTGTCATGGTATATTTGTACGATAGCCACGGTTCCTTTTGTCTCTCTGCGTATGTGGACGCGATGGAAGAGAGTCGGTAGGTTCGGCATCGACGACTACTTCGTCGTGCTCTCGTTGCTGTGTCTCATTGGGGACCTCGCCATCCAACAACACATGTGGAACCTAGGTCTTAGTCAGATCCCAGCAATATCGCCAGAGAACTTCAAAGGCATAATGCAGATGATTATTCCTGGATCAACCCTCTACGTTACCTCTCTCTGGGCCATCAAGTTCGCCCTCGTCTTCTTCTACAAGAGCCTTGCCGCGCCAGGATCGCGACTTGTCACTGTGTACAATGTTGCGCTGAGTGGTTTGGCCGTCACATATCTCATCATCTTCTTCGATATCCTCTTCCAATGCTACCCACACGATAAGCGATGGTCCAATGACCCAACATGTGCGCCAAACACCTTCTCTTTCCCCACACATATGCTATTTGTAGAGTGAACCTGGGCTGACCCCGTGTAGATCAATGTAGTCCACAAGCCGCAGAGATCAACTACTGGATTACCATTTTTTGTAAGTTCACGCAAGCGCCCCTGTTTCCCCATGACTCTTGCGTTGGTTTCTTTTTGTGACAGGGCTGATATGCACGGCAGTTAACATCTTCACTGACGTGATCATCATCGCCCTTCCCATTACAATGGTATCCCGACTGCAGATGAAACTCAAGCAAAAGCTTGGTGTAGCCGGCATCTTTGCGCTTGGATTTCTTGTCGTCATCGCTAGTTGTAGGTCGTCCGTCTTAGCCATACCTAAACTTTGCTAACAGGTATCACAGGCATCCGTGCCTACTATTCTAAACGCAACGAAACAATGTTGACGTGCACGGTCTCCATGATTGAAACCGCCATTGCCATCATAGCGACGTGCCTTCCCGCCCTACGCTCTACCATTCTCGGCACCAACACCACAAAAGGCAGCTCGAGCGGCTATGGCGGTCGGCACTATGAGCTCTCGTCTGCGCGGCGCAAGGCTAGTGAGAACCGACTCCACTCATCAAAGATGAACAGCACCCACCAGACCAACAGCACCGGCGGGCTGCAATCTCACACTCGCGCCAACGGCTCCGAAGATTCGCTCTTCTCCAACGAAAGCCTGAATGCTGCTGAGACAGGGACGGCAGGAACAGCAGTAAAAGGTATTCGCGTGAATACGCAAATCGAGACAATGTTTGAGGAAGGAAGACACGATAGCAGTAGTCCAAACGTTAAGAGTCCATTTGCTTGAGAAACCACCTTACGCCGTCACCCTCATAGAAGAGGGATTAAAAGTTAATAATCATGTTGAACGTTACAAAAGAAAAGAAGAATGATGCAGGCTGGATGAGTGGGAGAGGGATATCAGGCAGGGCCTGACTCCCCTTCTTATACGAACCCAAACGGCCTCTCTTTGCCTAACTAATGTTACAAATTAACGCCCTTCTGGGGGATGACACCGATGGGCACACCGATAAGGGACAACGCCCCCAGAATAGTATAGAACCCTAATTACCTCAGCTTTCCTAAAATGAAAGTAAAACCACAAATAAGGCTGAAATCCGGCTCTTTGACCCCCACCCAAATGCATGAAATGAAATCCTTCCTCGGCTCCCTTTCCGAGGCGCGGTGTTTTGGGTGCATAAGTGGAGTTTATCAACGGATTTAAAGAAGGAAAATAAAAGGGCCTTTACCCGGGGCGCGGGCTTTCCCACAACCGCCCCCCCCCCTTCCCTTCTGCTTCGGCGTTATTCCGTGGAGACCAATACTTCCGGAGGCTGAAAAGGTCATGGGGCTGTAATGAATAGGAAGGGCGGAAGAAGAAGGGCAAGTATACATGCGAATTTCCAAGGGAGTGGGTTTGCGGATTTAGATGTAGGCGAGATAAATGGGATTCTCAATACGGTGGATGCTACTTTTTTTTCGGTTGTTATTATTGTTGTTGTTAGATGATGGTACATGATCGGCCGGTTGATTGGCGCAAAATGACGTACGTGCGTAAATAGTAGTTAGCTCTTTCAGACCAACCATCATCACCATTAGTTACTACTTACTCGCATAATCATTTTTTCTCTCCCTTCTAGAACACACAAAAAAACACGTTCAGCCTTTACCTATTTAGGAAAATGCCTTTTAACTAGTCGCTTCCTGCTTACTTACTTCCCCGTTTTCTGGATATTTGGATTTGTTGTGAAGGATGTATGGAGTTAGGGCTTTTTTTTATTTGGTGTCAAAGGAGATGATACTAACGCCCGGGGCACCGACGACTGATCATGCGATCGAGTCCAAGGCCGTAAGAAACACCGAGAAGGATTCGTCGTTTGCACGCATGCGGTGTCTAAGTACCCAAGGCGGTAGGGGAGGATCCGGTTTTTTATTGCTTACATGCTTTGCTTAAAACGGGGGAGCGCCGTGATGGCGCAATGGTTGTGGGATGGAGTGTGGGAGCATATGAAGATGCAGTGGTTTGTGTAGGACATGGAGATGTGGAAGAGTGCAGATAACGGACAACACGCAAAGAAGATTTTCGTGAGCAAGAATGGATTCAACAAGTCACAACACGACAGAAAGAAAAGAAGGATGAGGGCGCTATTTCTCCCGATACGCCAGGTTGGTTCAGGCCCATCAAACGCCCAGATATGCGTACTATACCCCCCGATACAGAAAACACGTGACAACAAAAGGCCCGAGAAAGAGATAGAAGAAAACCGAAAGCAGAAATAAAAGATAACAACGGATCCCTCAGACCTCAAGTCCTCCAACCATGTAGAACAGCAAGTAAGCCTCGGCAGCGAGAACCTCTGCCTCACTGACCAGCACGACCTTGCTATCGTCAAACATGAACCAATCGCTTCCTTCGCGGCTGTAGCTGATATAGTGCCCAGATTCCATTTTGCCCTTGTGCACAATGACGCTGCTGAGTTCGTACACAAGAGCGTTCGCAGGGCTGTTGATGTTGTAATTTGTCACGGGGATACCGGATGCCTTTGCCGCGCGCAGGGCGGCCTTGTGGGCAGCGGTGTAAGGATAGATATCTAGCTTGACTGGGAAGCGAACGGGTGTTTCAATCTTGGAGGATGTGGATTTGGTGTGCTCGAAGCGCTGGAATTGCATGTTAGTTTATCGGACAAAGATGGTTCGAAGAATTTGGGTGACGGTACCTTGAGGTGGATGGATAGCACAGGTGGTAATCGCTTGATGCTGAGTTGCTTGGTGGCATTCTGTGGGCTGTCACAATTCCTACATGTGTATTCTGCTGAGCCGAGTTTCTCTTTTGCGGTAAAGCGCTCGAGACAGTCGCGGAGATCCAAAGGCGTTTCTTCGCCCCTTTCGGCGTTCATCTTTCGCTTCTTGCTTTGGATCCGTACGTCGAGACTGAGGTCCATGTAAGGATCCTGTGCTGTGGTAACATTTCGGCAGCTGTCGCATGTTACTGTGCTTGACAGCTTCCCACAGAATGTCTGATGTATAATACATTTGCAGTCCTCCGAATCGTCCGTTGATCCGCCGTTCGCAAGATGCAGGGTATTGAGTATAAATTGCATGTACTCGTGGGCATCTTGCTGTTGGTAACCTGCAAGAGCCTCTCCCGCTAGCCAGCTTCCCATAAGCATGCTGACAGCGCCAAAGCCTTCTGTCTTCTCGGCCGAATGGAACTCGACAAACATTTCGTCGAGTGCGCAGCTCACGCACGACTCCTTCTCACAATCTGTTTGCTTATGCCCCTCAGAGAGGTAGAAATTGCGTATGAAAGGGTTGTGGACAAGCGTTTGTAAAATGACGCTCATGAAGCATGTCTGACCCATGTTGTAGAGACCGCGCAGGCCTATGGCTCGGCAGGGGAGAAAGGTCGAATTGCTGATGACGAGTTTATGGTCCTCAGTCGTAGTCGTGTCTTCGTATTTTCGCTTCTTGCCTGTGATATCGTCAGTCGACTGGTGTCGCTCCAGGCTGTGTTGCGATGATATGCGCACCCTTCTGTAGCCTCAGGATCTCCAGCGCCTCGTCGTATATAAAATCCTGGCAGTTACCGCAGTATACATTGCCATCGCGCGATTCAACAGCTGGTGCGCGTTAGCCTTTGCGCATCCCGCGCATGATGCGGCACCTACAGAAGCAGTGCGATTTGGTCTCAAAGTGTAGATCGCGGTCGGCCTCGGTCATGATGTTGGGACACTGCAAGCACAAGAACAATGGCTTGAGTGATACGGTGGGTTTCGAATCCGTTGTCGCATTATACGTCTGGGCTATTATACTCGGTTTCTCGTGGATGTTCTGGAGGATGGCCCGGTAGTGCTGGAGCGTCTGCTTGCGCGCGTTCTCGAACATTTCGCCCATGTGCTCTGGCTGGTCGTCAGCGCCGTCTGGGTGTGCGTGATGAAGCAGCGGCCTTACCACAGCCATACTCGATATGCGCCATCTGGCTGCTAGGCACGATGTTACCCTTCGCATTCTTAACAATCTTGGGCGACGCCAGTGCCGACGCCTTGGGGGCGACTGCTATCGTGTCCATGGTGCCGACTGAGAAGCAATGTAGAATCGAGTGTGTGCGCCTTTAATCCCACATACTGGAAGCGCAAGATATAGGCCTAGCCAGCCGTCGCAATGCGCAACGTGGGAGGGGGTATTCTGGGGTTGCGGGAGGCGGACCTGCATAGTACCAATCGCGTCGAGCAGGAGATGCGTCACTAGCGCATCTCTCGGGACCTTGACCACTCATTCCGATTCCGATTACCACTCTCGAAACTTCCTTCTTCAAGAATGGTCATAGATTTGATAACGGTCGTATTTTTTCCGATATTCGCAGTGTTTTGCTCGCTTGTAGCACGTCTTTACCATGGATTGGACATTCCCTATTTGTCATTCGAGGCCGTTGGCAGTACCCTATTGACAAGAAGAATGGGCGCAAATTAATGTCGGAGTATGCATACACAATTGCAGAGCCACAAGTGCCTACTCATGGAACAAAATTTCGGACAGTATTCTGGTAATTCACAAGCATCGTCTTCCAGGCGTGTTAGATGGGTAATTCACAGATGATTCAGTAAAACTTCACACCAACATGCCCATGACTCGTATAGCCGATATACATGCAAGGTACATGTACCGAGGCCGCTTCTCAACTCACACCCCCGCCTCCGAAGCTTCCTGTAAGAATAAAGAGGAGTGTAAATCCAAACAGTAGCCATCGCATCACACAGTGGAAGACATATCCCAATTTCTGGACTGCTGAGATATACATATATAAATAATTCCTCTCAAACACACCTCAGAATCCAACACTGCCCCATTGCACAACCCAGCACGTCCGGATCGCCTTGAGAGAAAAAACATACCAACAATGCCACCCAACTCTTTCCTCCCGGAATCAAACACATCCCTAGCATACACTACCCCTTGCTCCCCTCCCCATCTAACCCACACACCCGTCCCCACACCATCTCCCAACGAACTCTTGATAAAAGTCCATGCCGCAGCCATAAATCCCGTCGACATACAACTATGGGGAAATCCTGTTGTAGGCTGGCTGGCTGGTAAAAAAGAGAAGGGAATAGGGCGGGATTACTCGGGCGTGATAGTTGCGGTGGGTAAGGAGGTGAAGAAGCAAGGGAGGTGGGAAGTCGGGGATGAAGTGTTTGGGTTGTATAATAAACCTGTACGTTACTCCCTTCTTATTTCCCATTTCCCTGAAAATTCCTCTATTCTCTGTCCCTCAAAAGTGTACAAGGGTAGATTCCAGTTTTGCATCTCCGTCCCTTTTTTTTTATACAGAAAGAAAACAAGTGCAGAAATTACATTCCATACCCTCAACTAACCTTCCAACACCCAAAAAAAAAGACTGCAGAAGGAACATTCACCCACTACCTCCTCGTCTCCCCCACCACCTCCCCCCTCGCCAAAAAACCGCCTTCCCTACCCCACCCCTCCGCAGCCGCCATCCCCCTCGTCGCCCTAACCGCCTTCGCCTGCCTCTCCTGGCTCCCCTCTTCCCCTAGCTCCCCCAACCACCCCTACCGCATCATCATCTCCGGCGCAAGCGGGGGCGTAGGGACCCTGTGCATGCAACTCGCCAAGCGCCTGTACGGCAGCCACATCACAGCCATCTGCTCATCGCGCAACGCGCAGTTTGTGCGCGATCTCGGTGCCGACGAAGTTATCAGTTACACTTTTCAAGACGTACGGAAAACACTACTTGAAAAAGTGGAAAAAGATGGTGCAGCGTACGATTTGTACGTCGATTGCGTGGGCGGGACAGACGTGTTTGACTATTGGACGCAGCTGCTGCAGAGACGCGGGGCGTATGCTACGATTGTGGGGGATAAGACGGAGAGGACGGCGATGGGGGGGCCGCTGACGTATTTTACTTATCCGAGACAGGTGGCGAGGTATGTTAGGGGGTGGCTTGTTGGACCGCGGTATGCGAATGTCATGTTGTTTGATAAGAGTGAGTGTTTGGAGCAGGTGGCGGAGTTGGTGGAGAGGGGGGAGGTGAGGGTTGTGGTGCAGGATGTTGTCAAGGGGATTTTGGGTGAGAAGACGTATGGGGAGGCGTGGGAGAGGGTTAAGGGGGAGATGGTGGGAGGAAGGGTTAGGGGGAAGATTGTTGTTGATGTGTCTAGTTAGAGAGAAGGGAGAAAGAGAGAGAGAGAGAGAGAGAGAGAGAGAGAATTTATTGGTGGTGCACAAAGTAATGTTTCATTTGGCTAACAAAGTATGGATAAATGAGGTGTTGAGAAGAGAAAAGTCCTTGTTCTACTGCCTTGACTTGGTCCCTTCTATACTACAAGCCTTCTACCATAGCTACCCCTCTCTAGCACTGAAGCTTGGCTGGGCCGGGGATCTTGTACTGACCGTTACCAGTGGGCTGACCTTGAGAGTTGTAGATGCTGACTTTGATACCAGCATCATCGGCCCGGTAAGCGCCAGGGAAGCTGACAGTGGTTCCAGTCTTTGATCCTGATGCCGAAACGTTGACTTGAGCACATCCCTGTGAAAATGTTAGTAAAGGTTTAGTTGCATACAGTCTCAATTCCTTACAATGTAGAACTGTGCACCGCCAACGGAGCTAGCGCTGTGGAGCGCAATCAGCTCAGCTCGCACGAGATACTGGCCTGAAGCAATGCAGGATGGCACGGTGAACTCGGTCCATCCGTTGTTGGAGATCATGCGGTCAACTCCCCAGGTAGAGCCTTGAAGACCGTCCTCGGCGACCTTGAACCATTGTAGGCCAGAGGGGGAGGCACTGGCTGCGTTGGAGACCTTGGCCATGTAGAAGATGGAGGGACCCTTGTGCGACTTGGCAATGGGGTGGTCTGGGTCGTTGGCACCTCTGTTAGGGGTTAGTTATGGATCAGTCTAGAGTGTAGGATTGCAAAACGTACTGGGCTCCTCCAACAACATGGCCCCACTGGACACCAACCCTGTCACCGCCCCTGACATCAATGACCTTGCTCGAAGAAGAGACACCGGTGTTGCAGGCCATGGCACCATCGTTGACGTTGGTGATGGGGTTGTTGGACGAGGCGACACGAATACCGTTGCCTAGACCAAAGTCCTGACCGTTGACGCGGACACGCTGGGCAATGGTGTGGGCCGACCCAAGAGCGGGCAGCAGAGCAATGGCAGCAGCGAAGAACTTCATGTTGAAAGAGTGGATGAATGTGTAGTGGTGGTGAATGAGTGGTAAGGCAAGGTGAGGTGCCTTATTCTGTCGCCTTGCCCATCTCTTATATAGTCAGTCGTTCACGGTTGCCATGATACACAAGATACTGCCCATTTCAAGACGGTGAGGCCAAGCCTTGCCGTTGTCTACGTCAATCGCTGGGCTGCAATCTATTCACGCCACATGGGAACAAGAGCGAAATGGCGTGCAGGAGTTGGCATGCACTCCAGGCTTTCTCTTACGGTAGTTCCGGTGGTGGCTGTCACCAACCTCCCAATTAGGGACATGGCATTTAATCTAGTGGAGCAGATGGACGATTGTGCCTAGGCGCCGATATATGGCGTTTCGAAATAAATGCGCCATGTAATCAAGCACCCGGCAAGCATTGCTTGGCAGTGGCATTTGTGTGCTGTCGGTTAATATATATCCGCGACAAAGGCCCGTGAGTGAGGCCTCATGACCGGTTTCTGGAAGCGGCCATATGCCATGACTTGTGCATCGTGCTCTTTCTTTGATGTTTACTGTTCAGGAAAACAATGTGTGTGGTGGTGTTGATTTGACTGCAAATGGGCTTTGGGTTTTAGTTCTTCGTCTTCAGGTTAGATGTACATGTTTAAATGCTGATAGGGGCAGTTGTGCATACTACTTATGAGACGGAGCGCTGCTTGTTGAGCCGGCTCCGCGGCGAGTACTTCGCCAATCTCGTTTGCATACAAACTAAGTCCCCATGCAACCCGGAGGCGGTATGCCATGTCCAAGAGCAGGTGGCGGAGCGAAAGGTGAGTATAAGCGAGAAGAGGTACAATATCTTGATGGACATATAAAGGGGAGTGAGTGTACAGCCGCCGTCATTTGCAAGGTAGTCGGGCATCATGTGCAACGTCTTGTTTGGGAGCGGTGCGTGGTAGACAGTTGGGGGCCGGAAGTGGAAGGTGTTTGATATGCTTTTCCTTGGGCGATTAGCGGTTCCATGCTGGCTGGTATGGTCGAGGGCACTAGGCGAGATGCATTACAGTCACAGGTGTATTTTCTCTGTGCTGGCCAATCACGGGGGCGGAAATTGCAAATGCTGCACTAGAGCACGAGGCACTGGCCACGCTGCATTTGCTGCAGCTATTCCTACCCGAATACATACTACATATGTACGTATATACCGAGCAAGTCACGGGTTTTGCCTTGCAGGTTCAACTGCACGCAATCTTGGACCTGCAGCTTGGGGAGCAGTGGTCATCTTGGTGCATCTCATAGATGACGACACTGGAACGGGTCTAATGCTCGGGTTTCTTGGTTGCTTTGACTAGCCATGGCACTTGGGTTTAGGGTAGCATTAGGATGAGGAGTCTATCTGGCATAGTGATAGCCGTATTCGCTCTGATCTGCAGAACCATGTCTCCAACTGCAACTGCAACTCCGTCCTGGACCGGCACGTTCGGCTGATTTTCTTCTCCCCCACTCCGTCTCCACGTGTTTGAGCAACGAGTACTTCCATACATACATTTATAGTCTATAGGTGTCGACACGGATGCATCTATAGCACACTCAATCCGGGATGCGATGAATGCTCGATTGGCTAGGCAACGACCTCGATCAGTATACATGTATTCATACATACACACATATATATATATGTAATGCGTTGTTGGCAATGGTGGTGCAAGCACATGTGTGGCGACTCGGAAGACTGCGCAACCGGACGGCCTCGACCAGCCATGCTGATAGGCCAGAGGGAGAGCAGCGCCACAGACTAAGGCTCGAGTCGGGCAGATTTGGCTGGTCTGTCGCATCTGCGCAATGACGATGACGCTCGTGTGTTGTGCATTACATCACTCGGGGACCTTGAATATGTCTTCTCGCTGCCACAAAGCCGCCCGCCGCCAGGCCTTATACCCCTTTGCTGCCGGTCCCTGACACTCGGTGCAAGTAGCTACTCGACAGAATCATTCACCTGGAGTGTGCGCCCATTTTTGCCCAACATTGACGCACCTGCATGCTGATCTACACTGTACATCAACACTCCCGTACCGTCCATTCGACTTTGTTCCCGTTCGCGCCCCACGCAATCTCCGCCCTGGCCTCCCCGCCGCCTCCCTTGGCACGACCCTGTACGTCACCACCAGCCACAGAACCCGCGCGGCACTTCTTCTCCCTGTGAACCCTTTCCTCCGTATATCAGCCAGGGTCCACCCCCGCTGCCCGCTTGCCTTCTATACTGTCTCCCCCCCCCCCCGAAGCCTGCCATCCTGTCAACTATCCGACATGGCCATGCAGCGACCAGTGACGCCCTCGGCCTCCTACCAATCCGTGCCACAGGTCGACGATCCAGCCCACCTCGGCCGGGGATACGGCACTGGCACCAACGACTTCGCGTCCTCTCCACCAGCAATTCACTATGACCGCTCGCGCCTCGGCAGGTTCGAGGAAGACTTCGACGCACCCACTCGGGGCACTTCAGTCATTGACGGCGACATGCACCCGCGCTCCTCCTCGCGCTCCTCCACCCTGAACCAGGGCCTCACGCCTTCACGCGGTGGTACCTTGAAGAAGAAGGGCTCCATAAAGAGGAGCGGCAGTCTCAAGCGCAGTGGAAGCAGAAAGTCCCTGCACGCTGGCAGCATTCGCGGCGTGGCCATCGACGACCAAGAACGTGGCTACGATCGCGAGAATAGTGTCTTCCACACACCCGTCCCTACCAAAGGCTCACCTACCGAAATCCTAGCAGAGCGCTTTCAAAGTATGTTGTCATTTGGCCCATGGTTGAACTGCTCACTAACATGTCGCAGCCTGGCGCAAGTTCCTAAAAGATCTCATTACCTATTTCCGAGAGGTCGCTGCTTCCTATGAACACCGGGCCAAGTCGCTCCTCAAAGTCTCCAACATAATCAACAACACCAATGCGCCCTCTGCGCTCCTCACCGAGGGAGGTCTGAATGATGCCAACCGCATACTCCGCGATTTCCACAAGCAGGCAATCGCTGAAGCCAACAAGGCCCGGGACGTGGAGACAGACGTCATCAACCAACTCAGTAGTCTTCGCGCCGACCTGGCGCAAAAGATCAAGGAAATCAAGTCTCTTTCAGGAGACTTCAAAAACAATGTTGAGAAGGAAAAGGAAATTACCAGAAAATGTGTGACAGCACTTGAGGAAGCCCTCGCAACAGCTGAGGCAGACCCTACAGCTGCTGCTGGCAAGGGTGACCCATATGTCGTCCGCTTGGGCGTCGAGCGACAGGTAGAGAGGCAGATTGACGAGGAGAACTACCTACACAGGGTGAGTGGCTGCACTTACACAGAAACTATACCAATCTAATCAAGATAGGCCTACCTTAACATTGAAAACTCTGGTCGCGAACTCGAGTCGATTGTCGTTGGTGAAATCCAAAAGGCCTACAATGCTCTAGCCAGCATTCTTAAGCGCGAAGCTGACGAGCAGTACACTACGGTTGAAAGACTGCGGAATGGCCCAATTGCCATGCCCCGTGACCTCGAATGGAGCAAGTTTGTAAGAAGCGATCCTCACTTTGTCGACCCCGACCTGCCATTGCGTAAACTCGAGGACATCCAGTATCCCGGCAAATATCACCCAGCCACCACAGAGGTTAGGGCCGGCATGCTCGAGAGAAAGAGCAAGTACCTCAAATCATACACCCCAGGCTGGTAAGCATTTCCTTTTCTTCAACATGACCCCCGCCCCCCCCTCTAACAAGCACAGGTATGTCTTGTCACCAACTCATCTCCACGAATTTAAATCTGCCGATCGTATCTACACTCAGCCTCCAGTCATGTCCCTGTATCTGCCAGACCAGAAGCTTGGTTCTCGTTCCCAGCCCAGAAGTTCCTCCCACAAATTCGTTATCAAAGGCCGCCAAGCTGGATCCATGCACCGCGGCCATACTTGGGTATTCCGGGCCGAGACTTATGATACAATGGTAGCCTGGTTTGAAGATATCAAGGCCTTGACAGAGAAGAGTGGCGAAGAGCGCAACGCTTTTGTTCGTCGACACGCAAGTGTTAGGAGCACCAGCGCTGGCAGCGCCCGCTCGGCCAGCTCCGACGGCGGTCTCGAGGAAGACGAGGCAGACGCCGTTCCATTTTCCGCCAACCAGTCATTGAAAGATCAGGCCAGGGACCAGTCCTCGACACGACCTTCACGACCTACACGACCTTCTCCAGGTGGGCGATTTCCGTCTGATTTAATGGTCAACCGTAACTTACAAGCGCCCCTCTCGCCATCTAGTGGAAGTTCGGAGGTCAATTATGATTTAACAACGGCATCTGGGGGCCCGCCACAAGAAATGCACCCCATGTATCTCGCGCACGAAACAGCCCACCAGCCCCTTGAGCCTATGCAACACGCGCAGTATGCCCAGCCAAACCAGCAACAACCGCAATACACGCACGAAAATCCATACGCTACCCAGCAATCGTATGCACCTGCAGCCCACGACTACCCTGTTCAGCCTGTCCAATCTGAGAGCTACCATCCATTCTACTCTGAAAACGACCAGTCCCTTCAACGCCACGATAGTAACAACTATGGTGAATGGATTGCGCCCGCCGCTGGAGGAGCAGCAACTGCAGCCCTAGCAAATGAAGCATATCGGAAGAAACAATTGGCCCAGCAACACGCAGAAGCTCGACAGCAAGAATTGAACGGGCAGTTTCAGACGATGAACTATCCAGGAGACCGTTCTGCCCCCGTCCCTGAGCAATACCCAGGTGAGATCAGGCCTGATCAAATAGATGATACCGGTTACATTGCACCCGATGTGCAACCAACACCTACACCAATCGTTGTTCCTATCATGGACAATCAGACCCATCCTCAGCACACCAATGGTACCGAATCACCAGTCACTACGTCGTCTTTTTTAGGCGAGTCTGAGGTAGGCGCCGCCCCTACCTCTGGCAAGACTGTCAATGGCGGCCCTGTTCCTGTTGAACTGGTAGACACTGCCGAGGAAATGGCATACCCTGGAATGGTCAAGCGGACGGGTACCGACTTCAGTGTTAGCGATCTCCATGTTCCGGGTCAGTATCCTAGGACCAGTATCAGTGATGCCACAATCACCCCAAGGGTACCTAACGGGGTTGCAACAACGCAGTAGCTTATGGCATCGCTGAGGCACGACTGATTGTATCATGTGTATGAGTATGTTGACTGGGTTATGGATGACGAACTATATGACTGAGTCTACGGGTATATGGTAACAGGCTGGGAATGGTTTTGGAACTGGAGGCTTTTAGCCAAGGACATGGGCATGGGATACACGCAGGCAGTTTTTTCTGTGGGCAACCTTGTTTTTGCGATTTCTCTTCTTCTCGCTTCTGAGTGAGAGCTTTACACACTCGTTGCGGACTTTTCTTCTACCGCTCCCCTCGTGCCATTGATACCCTATGCAATATTCCCCCTTCTAGATAGCCTTTTATGTCTTTGTTTTGCAATTGAATCATTTGTAGGTTTGATGTGTAGTTGTCACAAGTCATTTACAAATGTCCGTGTAAGAATGTATACAGATCCTTCTGACTTGAAAACAAGCGCTCTTGAAACCTCGATGCGTTCTGTCTCTCCAACTACACATCCCTGAGTCAACACCCTAACGGAGGGTAATACAAAGCCGGGTTTCACACTTCAAGTCGCAACGGAGATATTATCCAAGAGTCATTGAAGAATTTATGCGTTGACAACCCATCTAGCATACTGAATCAACCAACCCCCACCTCATGAAACACACACCCAAGAAGAAAAAGAAAGAAAAAGTACCCACAAACCTTGCACCTTCTGTAACACAAGCCACTCGTGTTCGGCCTCGGTAAAGCACACCTCATATTAATTACCCGACACCGTTGCTATGCGCCATTACTCAGATCTCAGAAGTTTCCTTCAGCATCGCCATGGGTGATGGCCTGTGTGTTCTAGAAGGCCAGATGAAACACATGCTTGTGGGGTACGCGAAAAAGAAAAGAAAGAGAGGCCAAACCCGAGTCTGGATTCTATCGATAGTAGAAACAAGAAAAAATAAAATTAAATCGATATGTAGTGTAAGCACCGATGCCAAGGCCTCCCCCCCCCTGGATTGATGAAAGAACAGTATGTTCTTGGAAGTTTTTTAGTGTTGTATTACCGTGCATATGCAAAAAAAACGACTATTTCGTACGTACGTTACGTACATTGGGTGAAAGTTATGTAAAAGGAGGGGGAAAAAAATGCACAGAGGCATAGTAGTGCAACGTAGGACTGCAAGCTGGCGGCTGCGCCTCACGTCACCCCTTTTGATTGCTCGAGTACGAGATAGGAGAAGCAGGAGAGAGAAAGGGAGAAGGTTTGCGCCTCATTTGACTACGACTACGACTACGACTACTCTACTCTCAATCCATGTGAGAGTTTCTAGTAGTAACTTGTCAAGCCACACACACACACACCCCCATAGTACATGTAGTATAGTATACTACTCTGTGGTACTATTGAACCAACCTATGCAAACCCAGCTACTGCCTAAAGCCCTAAAAAAGCTTATTACTTTATTACTTGCATAGTGAGTAGCATAAGTAAAGCCACAACCCTTTCCTCCCCCTGGCCTAGCCAACAGATTCCCCAGTGTTAATCTCCGCACAAAACACCGATTTTCTCACGTGTATGTGTGTGGTGAACAGCCCTTATTTCCCTGCACAGGAGTGGTTGTGGGTGTCTCGATTCTCTGGGAATAAAGTCATTATTTTCATCACACCCCCTTATGTTAGTTAGAACGAAGAGAGGCTGGGTTAGCCATGCCCGTCACTTGGGGGCGAGGCGCTAGTAGGAGTGTTTTAGTGCGGTGTTTGCACAGCCACTACTGGACTACTGGGGTGTGGGTGGTTACGTGGACCTTTATGTACGCAGTACGCGGATTGGATGGGGTAATGAGAGTGAGTGTGAGAGAGAGAGTAGTACTGTGTAGGAAGTTTTTTGCGAAAGTGGGTTGTATGGATAGAGGTTCCGGATTCTTTGTTTTTGATGGGGGGTTGTGGGGAGGAAGGGGAGATGTGGTAGGTGGGTGTGGTGTCACGCGATTATGGGGTGGTGTGCTTGTGAGATACGAAGGATGATGGCTTTTGGACTTGATTTTCCCTATTTCGCGGGGCTTGATTTGGATTGTTTCTACTACGTGGTAGGAGATAGAGAAGAGGTGAGTGGGTTGGGGTTGAAACGGGGTACATAATCAAGTGACAATGACGAAACAAGTTCATGTCGCAATGAACCATGGTAGATGCGACTGATATGCTCAGGGCTGGCGAGAAAAGCCGGGGACAGGGGAGAGACAGAGAGAGCAATGCATATTTAGTGATTGGCGGAAAATGTCACAAAGACCAAAAGACAAGAAGAAGAGGAAAAGACTGACCATCTAGCACTGCCCTTCACCCAATGATTACATGTAAGAAACGGGAACAAAGGCCCGGTAGTAACCATGGTCGTTTAACCTCCCCCCCCGTGACACCATCTCGCGCTCACCAAACCCATCCCTCCCCAAACTCATTCCTCACCAGCAACCCGCGTTTCTCCCTAGTATTGTTTACTCGTACCTTACACCTCCCCCCACCTACCAAGAAAAAAAAGACCAAGACCAAGGAAACCCCCCCTCCCTCCGCCTCAAACAACGTCATGCACAACCCATGTCCATGTACCCTCTAAACCCAAACCACCTTCCCAAAGCCGTAACAATCCCCAAGTTTAAGCCTCACATACGCGTTGCGCGCGCACAACCCCAAGCATTCAAACCCGCGCCCCTCAACGCATAACCCCGAAAAGTCTTGAATTTTGCCCTAGCCCCCTCGCCAGCCAGGACTAACAAACACACGTGGGTAAAAATCGTTTCCCCCTTCTCCCTTCTCCAAAGCGCCCAAGAACCACAAACGGGGAGCGCACGCACGCGTGCGAAAAAAACAACAACAACGCGCGCATCGTCATCTTAGTTAGTCAAGTCCTAGGTTAATCCCCGATGTATACAACTACATATTCAAAGTCATGTACTATAAGATAAGCAACAAGCAATAAGAATGTTTACATTATCGATTTTTTTTTAGTTTTTATTTTTAGGAATAGAAAAAAAAGGAGAGAGAGAAAGAAAGAGAGAGAGAGAGATGAAAAGATGGGAAAGCGGGAAACGGACAAGGGCAAAGAAAAATGGGGACGAATACGTAGATGTGTAGGGATATATGCATGTCAATAGTATAGGTACAGTAAGACGGGTGTGATGACGACGACTTTTGTGTGTGCGTGTACTAACCCGGCCGCGTCCCTTTCCTTCCCATCTCCCCGTAAGGCTGAAAGTTCAAGCCTTGGCCTTTTGTTTTCCTTTTACTACCCCTGTTCCTTTCCTCTTCCTCTCGTTCCTAGCTCTGCCTTGCTAATATGCCTTGCTATGCGGGTGACCCGGCACCCGGGTCTAACGGACTCTCTAGTGAAAGAGAGAGAGACCAGAGAGGCAGAGGAAAAGACGCGTGCGAGGAAGAATACGAGTGATCAAAGAAGGGTCGTAACAAAATACGGTCGTGTGACCTGTGTATGACACACCAATAGCTATTCTACGTAATCAATAAAGTCGCCGTACTCGCTCTGTACCCAATCGTAGCTATCCACATAACACATGCTTCACTCCATGCTCTTGCTGTTCCATAGGACCTGCTGTTGATTTGAATTTTTTGTATTGGCCGAGACGATAGAGTAGACTATTGGGCGCCTGTTGGATCGGCTACTACTACATGTTGACAGCGCACGCGGGCGTGTCTGTTTTGAGATTTTAGGTTTTTGCTGATTTTTTGGGATACAAAGGAGCGGCAGGACAGAAACTAATGTCCTTGAAATGGTGGTTGGGGGGTAAGGAATGTGGTGGACGTAAGATTACCGTCCGGTATAACAAAGAACAAGATATAAGGGATGAACCTTGGTGCCCGCAATGTATGTGCGCCAAATGTTAAGTTTGTAAAGTTGCCCAATTCAATTGCCCGGTATCTAACACCCCACGAACGCCCAGATGGAAAAGAAGAAAAAATGTGATAAAAAAGAACAAAGAGGATCGGGATATAACACGAAGAGGGACAAAAACTCTGCTACTACAAATCTTTCCTGTCCTCGTTCAATTCTGGCTCAAGGTGTATCCGTCATATACTGAATAGTAACGGGCTAAATCGCAAGATGATTCTTACTCTCGTCGTCAATGCGTGGTCGCGCACACCGTAGTGCGAGACATGAGGTGAAGGAGATTAGGTGTGTGCGGTATCGAGGGTATTGAGGTTTTGTTCGTCAGCGACTCCAACCGTGGGAAGGGCTGAGGTGAAGAGCGCAATCGTTGTGCGCAGTGTCTCTTATTTTGGCGCTCATACATTGGTCACCTGGTATAATGTTAGCATGTAGTCACGAGGGCGTTCTGGCATGTCTTGCTTACCTTCAATATCCGCCTCGAGTAGTCCTCGTTGTCTGCGATACTGCCGTTGCTCTGCCTTCGGTCCATGAAGCTCGGGTCCAGACGAGAGTCATTCATGGACGAATTGCTCGTGTGCAGCTTGCCACTGCCAACGAACGAGTTAACATTGGCGGCGTTGCGACGGTAGTCTTCTTCAGCCTGCTGTTGACGTCTCCGGCGCAACAAGAACCAAACACCGAACAGAATAGCTGCCAGTCCTAGCATTCCGACAACGACGCCCACTGCGATGGCGACTGTGTTGGGCTTGTCATCCTGTGGAGGTGGCTGAACCGGAACGGCGGTGGCACTGGCAACTGCAGTGGATGATGGCGCAGTGCTAGATGTCTTTGGTGCTGATGAGCTGCTGCTGGATGATGATGATGGCTGAAAGTAGTCGACTTGGTTCCTGGTGTTACCGGTGAGGACAACCCACAGAAGATTCTTACCACCACCTGGGAGGGATTAGCATGGCGCACATAAGAGTATTTTACATGGTTGACTTACAGCCAGAGGTGTCATCACCATTACATGTGGTGCTACATGTGTCGTTCTTGACTTGCCATTCTTTGGCAGGGATTTCATCTCCACACCAACAGTTTTCACCGTCGGACAAACCCATGACGTCCTTGTCGAGTTGCAGACAGACCAGTTGGCAGTTACCCGGTGATTGGAAGTTGTAAGAGCCGTGGTTCTCGAGTGGTAAGCCAGTCTCGAAGCAGCCGATGCTGGTCATGGCACTGGCGGGCTTTGTGACGGTGGGTGTTGTGATGGGGTTCTTGATGGTTGGGGAGCCAGCTTCGGCAGAGGCCATGGCGACAATGGAAGCCGCTGCGAGAGCGGAGGCAAATCTGAAGGAGACCATGGTGGTGGACTGGTAGGCTGGTCCTGTGACGATGGGTGTGGTGCTTCGGCGGTCCGGTCAACGGCGTGTCAGTTGACCGTAGGGGTGCTTGAGTGCGAGTGTCGCACTTTTGGTCTTTGCGCAAGGGCGTCTACACATGCAAGGCCTCAGTAGGCAGTGCCTGGATGGGCCGCGGGATGAGGCGGTCGACGGGTTGATGGACGGAGATGAGGGCGAGACTGCGGTTGGTGTTGGACGTTTGGGCGGCGTGAGAACGGGGGAAAGGGTCGAGTGTGGTTTGATTGGGTTGATTGGGTGGTTTACTTGGGTGACTGGGCGATGGAAGATGGGATGTTGATAATCGATATGGTGCCTGTGTGCGAGTATGGGTGACTGGGTACAGGCAGGCAGGAAAGCAGGCTCGGTCAACGATGCCCAGCGGCGTCTTGAGAGGTTGAAACCGAGGGCGTAGGGACAGGACAGATGTCGATGAAACGGTTCGGATGCCCCGTGGAATGCACCCCTGAGGCGGTAGGCAAAAGGAAGGAAAACAGTCGAGGGAAGGGGTGGTGGGAGATGTGGAGGGCAGCGGTCAGGTCAAACGATTGTGGATGTATGTTGATGGTAAGTGACAGACGGGTGAAGCAGACAAACGAGAGGAGGCTCGGGCCTTGACTGAAGTGGATCGCGAGTGAAGAGCAGAGCAAAGCAAAGCAAAGCAAGGAGAGGGCGCCCCCAGTCAGCAGTCGGGATGGGCAGGCACCGCCGGCCCAGGAGAGCAGGAGCCAGCCTTGGCAGCTAGCGCGCCGGCAGTGGCAGTCAGACGCACCCGCACCCTCCCACGACACCGCTTCGGGCAGGGCAGGGCGCCGCAGATTGCCAGGCCCCTTCATCTGCCTCTAGTGCTGCCATTGCTACCATCACACACATACACACACGCACACATTACTTGCTGCTCTTCTCCTGCCCTTAGTACCAGCCAAACTGCTCGTCGGGCCCTCTGCTACGAGGGCCGCCGGCGCAGCGCCATGTCCAAGACGGAATAGCCGGCCCCACCTGCTGCCAGGCACGCTGATGTGATTGGCTGGCCCTCTAGCCAGTGGCGTTTCACCAGCAGCCACGGGCGATAGGGGTGCGTGTGCCTGAGGGCTGACATTGTGCCATGTACGGCGCCGCGCGGTCCTGCACCACGTCCACGACCGCCCTTGGCTAGACGCCTACCGACGATGGCTCCTTGTCGTCGCTCAACTTTGCTTTTTGCCCTTGGATCATTGGATTGCAGGCCGAGAACCTCTACGCGATCCACTCGTGCCACTGTTGGGACCTCGACTGATTGCTGAGTGCGCCATTGTCGGCTCGCCGAGCAGCAAACGAGACGCGGTGGCTTGACGGCGCTTTCATGCTCATTTAACCCCCGGAACAACCTATGCTGTACACGCCGCTGCCCGTTGCCCGCTTCTTTCGGCCCAACCACTCACCGAGAACTCTAGACGTGCGCGCCCGGCTCGTGTCCTGCTCACCCGCATACCCTGTGTACATATACGCTCCTACGCACAAGTACACACCCACACACACGTATCTATGTACTTACATATCTACACACTCACTCTGCATGCTGTCCACTCCTATGGCTTTCCCCGTCTTATATCCATAGTCCATGCATGTATGTCCTGTCTACGAACCCGACACACGGCCTGCCTGCCAGCCACCCCGCTTAACCGTTGCGCCTCAGCCTCTGTGCCGCCAACGGGTCCATTAGACACCCGTCAAATCGTCTTGGTATCCTGAGACACAGGCGTACCACCACGGAGTCAGGCAGGCTCCATCCCAAGATTCAAGACCGTGTCAAAGTTCCCCAGATTTGTCGCATCCTCCCGTCAAGTACACCCCATTTTCTGTATCCACCCTAGTATGAGCTGTATGTATGTATGTATGTATGTATGTACGTAAGCACATAGACCAAACCACCAAACCATTCTCGCAATCCTCTTAGTCATCAATGTCACGTGTATCGCCCGCTTCCCAATCTGGACATGCCCTCAATGGCCTACCAAGCTGCACGCCCACTTCAATGACCACCACCCCGCTTGATGCGCCGTCCGTCCGCTGCCTGCCGCAGAGCAGTGCAGTCGCTCCAATTGCCCACTGCCCATCACATATGGATCTCTGACGACCTTCTCGCCCGGGCCCTCAATCCATTTTTCCCCAGCTCGTGTCCACACCAGAGACGCCATGGCAGCAATGTCCCGGGACCATTGGAGGCTAGAAGGAGGGCAGCGAAGCGTCGGATGACTGTCTCTGCGGGATTCCATCCTCAATACACCTTCCAATCGCTCTTCAACCTGGGCGCTCTGTTTGCCTTCCGCAGAGAGTCGGAGCCCACTTGGAGATATGAAGCGCCGTCCTTGCAACACAGGACCGAGCCATTGGACCTTTGTACGTCCGAACTGTGAGAACTCAATCTGCTCTGCTGACAATGGTAGTGAATCAACAGCTGCCAAGCTCCCAAGTACCTCAATTCGATCGTATTTCACATTCACACGCAGTCTCGGCTCCCCAACCCAACCCACTCGCCTTTCCAAACCCCGACGAGTCCGAATGCGTTTCTACTGGGACTTCAAATGGAGACCTCGAACAGATCAGCGCGCATGCCTTGACTCGCTTTGACGACTTCAAATCCCAGGTCATATACGCAGGGGACCTATCCTTTGCTGAGCGCAACAGACTCCTTGCCAATGCCTGGAAGTCTTGTTGTCCAGCCCACTCCGATGCATGGATATACAATATTATGGTAGTGGAGCACGTGGAGAAACTTGGCTGGGATCCTTCGCGCATTCTCTTAGAGCACGAGTCGTTCGCGCTGCCTCCCATGTACACATCGCAAAGCCAAAACTTTCTCGACTGTTTAAGGAAATCTTCAGCACATTTTCCGTACGCTGCCAAAGTCTACCACGACGTATCCATGAGAGTGGTTGAGTTAGCGGGGTCTGCCACAGTCTCAAAGAACTCTTCACAGGACACCGAGCTTCTCTCCATCATTCGGCTCGCACTTCAAGGCGCTTTTCCAACTGACAACAAGATCGAGCCCTCCATAGCACAAGCTTTGGCTTTGGTCGCGAACAAGATTCAAAACATTGACATTCGAGAGGCGTTACTCTCAATCCTCACAGGTACAAACAGTGTACAGCAAAGCACAATCATATTACTTGCGCGTGCTGCCACCGACCACAAGCTTTGTGCCACCTTGGAAAAGACTCTTTCCTGTCTTCCGCGAAAGCAACTTCGATCGCTTATCCCGTCGGTTACTATATCTCTAGCCATAGCTGTTGCGCGGGAAACTAGACTGCCGCATAGGGTTCATGGGCATCCCCTCAGAGCATGGTTCAAGGTGCTTGAGCGTCTTGATAGACGCTCAGCCTCCCATGCATCTAGCGCAGATTATTTGGGCACTGCGTTTGCAGCGGTGAACAAGTATGTCTTCAGGAATAGCAACGCTAGCAGTATGCGAGGTCTTGTGTTGCTTCACGCCTTAACATTTCAATTGACGCAGCAAACACTGTATGCATCTTACAGGGAGAGGGTATTGCAGCTCATCTATGCTCCCGTACACACGCCTCAAGAACGTCCGGAATTTGAAACACTCTTGGGGCTTGTCTTTGCTCGCATGCAAAAAGAGGGTTTACCTTGTACGCCCTTGGTAGACCTGACTGTATATACCTTCACTCGCCATGCCGACTTGATGTCCGTATACCGCATCTTGTCCACACTGAAACAGCAAGGATTCGTGCTGGAAAACGCATCAAGTATCCAATCTAGATTCATAAAAAGAGCAGCCTCGCTCCCCCGCAAAACCGAGTCGATGAACGAACAAGCCCGTCAACACTACGCCTTTGCTCTGCGCACCTGCCAAAGCATAGCTGACCTCCTTATCAAACTCGTCCCTCCTTCTTCTAAATCCACCGCGAGTGCCTTGTCCCACACAAAGAAGCACCTCCTTCATCTACAAGCCCGCCGCGAATTCACAGCAATCCTCGAGCGCGCCTCCGCAAACCACGCTCTACCCCAAATCTACGCAACCACCACTGCCGATATGCCCACTTCGGACCGCACAGTTCTCATCCACCAACTCGCTCATTTCTACTCGCTCAGCACCACGCGCTCCCATCGGGAAACGTGGCGCTCGATATACTACCTCTACAGCTACCTTCAGACGTACTCGCTACCGATTGGTCCGTTGTTCACTAAAGCTGTGGTGCGCGCTGCGATTATCCGGCCCATGATGGAACATCGATTCATCAGTGCGAGGAGACTGATTTGGGTCTGTCATCTTGTGGCGAGGGTGGAGGGCGAGGATGTAGCGAAGCAGATTGAAAGTAGTTACTGGCGCTGGAGAGGTGAGTTGATTAGACATGCTAAGCGGGCGCATGATGATGCGGGGGGAGATGTGAAGGCGAAGGCTATGGTTGGGAAGATGAAAGGGTTGGGGTTGGTTTGAGAGGAGGAAGAAAGGCAAGTAGAAAAAAGATACCTGTATGTAGAGCAGTGTAAATGTTGTACAAAAGAGGGATGAAATAAACAACAAAACATATATAATTGATGATTATCAAACATCTTCCCTAATTACATTCGTTCTCGAGCACAGCAATAAGGTCATTAGTCTGCTGTGAAAGCAGCAGAGGCCCCCATTCCCTTAATACCTATCAATCAAAAACATCCTACGCTCATACTCAGACATGGCGCCCAACATGCGCCTCTCCCCGTCCTTGATAGCCAAATAGTCCCTCACCAGCCCCGGCGCCAATGCCTCATGCAGCGCTGCGTCCCTATGCAACGCATCCATTGCCTCGCCCAGACTCTTGGGCAGCATCTGCGTCACACCCAGTTCCGCGCGGTCCTCATCATCCAGCTTTGCTGGATTGACAGAGATATCGCGTTCCGGGTACGCAGATGCGGGTTCGTTGGCTGAGAGACCGAGGATACCTGCTGCCAGCAGTGCAGAGAGCACAAAGTAAATGTTTGCAGTACCGTCTAGCGCGCGGATTTCCCAGTGGCCTGGCTCAACGCGGCGGAGAGGGGTTTCGCGGTTCTGAGTACCCCATGCTACCTGTATGTATTCGTTAGAAGAGGGGGTATTTCTCTCTCTCTCTCTCTCTCTCTTTGAGTCGCTGAAAGGGGGGAAGTGGAGGGGATAACATACCCAGGATCCTCCGGACCAAGAATTATCCTTGACTCTTGCGTAACTATCTTCTTGTGGCATGGTGAATGCACAGATGGCAGGTAGGTGTCTCAATATGCCTCCCACGAAGAACTGCATGTCGCGATCTGGCGGGTGCAAACTAATGTGTGCGTGGGCTGCGGTGCCTATGCCTTCAAACGGCTGCGGGTGCAGCGTTGCTCGCAAGTCGTGCAGACTGGCTATCTGTGCAATCGCATGCCGTGCTTGGATCAATGTGTCGATGGCCAGGAGCGGTGGTTGCGGCGGCAGGACAAACTCATATTGGCCTGGGGCGGACTCGGCATGGAATTGTTGGAGCTCGATACCCATATCTTCGAGTGCAAGTACAATTTCACCCAGGAACGGCAGTTGAATCCACTGTTCGGGCGACATAGTACTCCAAGCGTGCGTCTTTGTTAGTGGCGACGGCTCTGCTTGTGAGGCATTGGTGGATGGCGACGGTGTGTTCCTACGGAGGAATGTGACTTCAATCTCAAACCCTATGAGCAGAGTGGCTGAGTAGTTGTATTGTAGGTCGTTGATAAGTATCTCCAGATTATTACGGGGATCTTCGGGAAGAGCGGAGCCGTTCTCTGAGCGCCAGTAACTAAACACCGTGGCGGCTGGGAGAGGGTCCTTGTTGTGCGTCCGGCAAAGTGAGCGTAGATCAGGCTCAACATAAATTTGACCTGTAGTGTTCATGACCGGAGTTGGGCCATCATTTTGTAAAATGCCAGTGGTGCCTCGCGAGATGCCTATACGTCTGCCTTCATTTATTATCCGTGTGAATTCTCTAATTGGAACTACACGGCTCCGAACCGTGGCTGTGTAGTCAAGCCATTGCACATAGATAAACTTGATATTTGGATTATTCTCCATGAAGCTTTTAAACAGTTCAATGTCGTATACTTGTGGAACTTTTGGTGGTGGAGGGAAGTTTGGTGGTGCGTAAGGAGAAGCCGACTCGCTGGCGCGCTGAGGAGCAGTAGTCTGAAGGAATGCAGGTACGCTGGGTCCTGGTGTTGCAGTCGGTGATTGATATGGAGAAATTGGCGTATTGGGCTTTGCATTGTACGTCAACTGCTTCGGCGATGACTGTATATTCTCATCAAACACTGCTTGATAGCGCAGGTCATAGAGGACATTAGAGTTATTGAACATGATATCTTTCGTCATACCAATGGCTTGGTGAGGAGTAATATCACCTCTCTGGATGTATTCGAGGAGTATCTAGCCTGATCAGTATGCTCTAGAGATGCAATATAGCATGTAGTTCATCTTACCTCGAGCCATACTTCGCGGAACTGCACATTAGCAAGCCAGAAAGTCTCTGGGAACCAATGACCGTCACTAGAATAGAGGAGCTTGCTACCAGGAACCAACTCCAAGGCTTGACGGAGCACCGCTCTCTGACCATCTCTGCTGACCATGGGGAAGACTTCGCCAATATCCAGATATACATGGCGATAAACAGTTGCAAGGTAGCCCGCTTCGCGTGTATATGGATATGCCGAGTGAAGAATGACAAAGGGAACTTGAGGGTAATTCTCTATCAGCGGCTGAAGAAAGGCAGGGTTTGACTCCAGCAAGTTGATGTCGTTGTCGCCTAGGCCGGTGTGCAGCTGGAATGGTTTCGCAAGCGAATCAGGATGCGGTAACCGCTCAGAAAGTATCTCGAGCGTTCGTAGCACTAGGTAGTCATTCAGAGGTTTCTTTTCCATTCGAAAGTTGCGTTTACGAATGCAGGTCTTCACGTAGCGCTCGAAAGGGTGGCTCACTGCTTTTGCAGCTTCCTCGTATTCAGGTTCAATATCCAGCCCCGTCCGGTAGCATACGACAGACTTAAAACCAGCAACATTTTCGTCCTCTACGGCCTCTTGAATGATTCTCTCAAAATCGTCGGTAAAGTCGGTCCAGATCTGTGGCAGAAATTTACTTTTCGCCAAGTCGTCTTCTGATGCATCCTGCACAAGACTTTCCATCAGCCGCTCAGCGACAGTTTCGATACGCACGATGCGTTTGGTAGGTGCCTTGGTATATCGGTCGTGGTAGTTGTAAGGGAAGACTTTGTCTGGCAAAGCAAGGCCATCATCAATGAGCAATGCGTGTACGTTTTCAAAACATCGTTGGTGCAAACGTTCCGAGTTGCTTCGAAGCCATTCCACTCTCTGTTCAAGGATCTCTTCCCAATCCGCGTCCTCTCCACACTCGTACAGTAGACGTAGTTGCTTAGCTGCTCGTAGATGAGAAAGCGACTTGAACGTGTCTCTCAAAGCTCTACCTTGAGCTTCTGTAGTGATTGTTTCGAATGGTATTGTGTCTATATGTTGAGGCAGGATAAGATTGTGCGCGTGATTGTCGATGATTGGATAGTTGTTGACGACATGCCGCAGATGATCAACTGTGGGCCGAGCTGGGGATGTGGTTTGGCTCATGGTGTCTGTCGATAGCTAGGCGCATATAGTTTCCTAGCGCGCCGATGTATTTGCTAGTATATTGTCTTTCAAGTACTTCAATGGCGCCTGCTTACTCTTGAGAACTCTAGAGGAATATGCTGGTTGGCTTCTTGTTTGTATGCTTTGGGCTTGGGGCGTTACAGGCAAGGCCTAAGCCAAGTTTGTTTCTGACGCCGTTTTCCAAGGTCAGTCAGATGACGTCAATGCAGGCGGAAGCTGTGGATGGGCAGACTGAACTGTGCAACATGCAAATGCCCACACGATGTCCCATGAAAGGATAAAAAAAGTAGATTAGTTGCTACGGCAAGGTCGGGCTGATCATAGTAAAGCAGGGAATTTTGTCGGTCTACTAAGAAATGCAGTCGAGAAGTGGGGCGGTGGTTCGATGTCGGGCGCATCAGCTACCCCTCCAACATATGCGCAAACGTGAAGTCTGTAACCAAAAGACTGCGTTACATTGCAACCCTTCAGTGTTGATGATGGGACTAGAATGGTAGAGCTGTCAACTTTGCAGGAACCGGTTGTTTGTGTCCGTATATGATGAATACTATTCGGATAATTAAATTGATGATATTACAAAGCATAGCATACATCAGAAGTATATCGCGTGCAAGTACAGAGGTCAGATTGTAATGCGTCTATAATTGCACTGCATATCTACATCGATTATACAGATACGCATGCCCGTAATTACAATTTCTTTCAGAAAAAAGGACATTCCATGACAGACCACACACGGTGGTATAGGATATAGAAAAACGAGTGATACAAATGGGAATAAGCGCAAACCCACGCAAACAATGCAAATGTGAAAAACTACAAGGTCAACCCACAACAACCCAATCAAATAGCCCTTCTATCAAGAAGAGTTTTTCATCTACAACAGGATCATAGCCATACCTGAAGCAACGGCACCAAGCATGTAAAGACCGAGACCAAAGACACCGTCAGTGGAGAGGGCAGAAGCGGCGCCAGTAGAGCCAGAGCCAGAGCCAGAGCCAGCGGAGCTGGTGCTGGAGGCAGCAGCAGCAGCACCGCCAGCGACGGAGCCAGTGCCAGCAGCACCAGCCTCCTTGAGAAGTGAAGCACAGCCGGAAGCAGTAGGGCTAGGGTTGGCAGACTGGGTGGTAGCCTTGCCCTTGAAGTTGCAGCCGCCGCTGTTCTTCTTGGCGTAGGCATTGACAGCGAAAGAGAGCTGCTCACGGTTGGAGCACATACCGTAGACACCATAGGGACCAGAAGTGGCGTTCTTGTTGATGCCTGCACAGTACTCGCCGTCCTTCAATCCGCAGACGAAGCCAAAGATGTCGCCAAAGTCGTCCTCATCAGTCTTGTCGGCGACGACACATGAGAGGGTCTCCATCATGCATGAGCAGAGGTTAGAGTTGGCAGGAGGGGGGAGAGGGTCGGACTCGGCCTCCCACTTTCCAGCGGTGACCTTGGGGCACGAGGCAGCGGCGGTGTTGGTAGGTTTGTAGTCAGCCATCTTGACACCAACTGGGGTAGCCTTAGCAATCTGTGAAGACAGGTTGTCGAAATCGTCGTTGGGTACAGCCTTGCCGTCCTTGATAGAAACGAGACCTGGAGATTATAAGTATGCAGTCTTAAGTAATTTAACAGAAGCAAAAAACTTACCAAACTCGTTCGCCTCCTCAAAGTACATGTAGACGATACCGCCAGACCAGGTGTTAACCATGTCCTTGCCATAGAGAGCCTTGACCTCGGTGAACAAACGGGGGCGGGGGGTGTTGCAACCGTATTCGGCGAAGAAGACGGGGACGTTGTACTTTTCAAAGTTCTTGGTCTGAACGTCAAAGCCGGACTTGGTGAAGGAAGAGTCACCACACCAGGAGTAGATGTTGTAACCCCAGAAGTCGATAGCGCTGTCCTTGTCACCACAGTCGAAGTAGTTGGCCATGTTCTCACGAATATCGGCATCGTCGTTGGTGGCATAACCAACACCAATCTCGCGGTAGTTCTTGCTCTTGATGTAGGCCTTGGTGTCACGGACAGCGGCCTTGACAAATGCACTGGCAACGGTGTTGTTAGGCTGGTTACTAACCTCGTTACCTGCAAAGAAACCAAGGGTGTTGTCAAACTTCATCATCTCATCAACAACGCTAGTGTAGCGATTGTAGAGATCGACAGTCCAGCCAGGGTCGTCACGGTTGATAGACAGTCCAGGCTCGGACAAGTCAGCAACGACGTAGATACCAGCATCTGCGAGCTGGGTCATGCACTCGGTGTGGTCCTTCTTGGGGTCAATAGCGTAGACACGAATGGTGTTGGTGTTGAGCTTCTTGAGCATAGCGATATCGCGCTTGCATGCTGACGAATCAGCGAGGGGGTCGGTGATCTTGAGCGAATCGGTCGAAGTGGCTGTGGTGTTGGAGTTTACTTCCTCTGCTGGTTGTGAGTCTTGTGTTCTGATCTTGGCCTGCTAAATGCTTACGTTGATAAGCAACACCCTTCATGAAACTGGCTCGGCGTTAGCTTGGCTTGGATAAAGTGGCGAGGGCGTTACATACAATTGTTCACCACTGTTCTTCATGAAGAACTTTTGCCCCTATTGTGAGCTGTCAGCTACTGGTGTCGCAACCCGTCGCGCGACATGTTACCTTGATGACAATAGGGTCAACGGCAGCCTGCACGCCTGCGAGCAGGGCCGTGGTTGCAATGAGTCCGCGCATATCGATAGGGAGAGCACAAGATGTTTTCCAAGAAGTGTGGTTGGGGTTGGCAAGAGCTTAGGTTGGTTCGCCGAGAATCAAAGGCAGAGCGCGCGTCTTGGGGCGTTTGGTAATGCGCAAAATGGGTCAAGGAGCGTGGTGCAACAGCAAAGAAAGCTGTATGCAAAAAGGAATTAACTTAAACACTGAATGATTGACTGGGTAAAACAGAAGAGTGAGTGAAGAAACAGCTCTGAGGCACAACGAGTGAAGAAATCTAAGGCCGACCAAGCATCCCAAGACAGATCCACAAGCGCTCAGCTGTACCCCTGATGCTAGCCCTGTTTCGTACTAGCGGCACAAGCGCAGTTCGAGACTGCGAGGCGCTCCATTGTTCATTGCACCGAGTTGAGGGGGCGTCAGCATATCGCGTGTTCGCCACGAGCTGCAGAACATATGTTTGTGCTAGCAAGAAACTACCATGATTACTTGTCCATGACAGCACGACGACAAACCCTCGTCTGGCTGCTTGTTGGTGTTTGTCCGAACATCTGGGCAAGGACATTGGACTCATGCGACGCGTATGCACAATTTCGCAGTCTCCACCTGGGATTCGCCAGTCGCCCCACCGCCCATCATGCTGCTAAATTGGGGCTTGACGTTTTCAGATACCTTGCTGCCGCGGCGCGCATTCCCGCCCCTCCGTATTGGATCTACGGAAGCGATATAGATGATAGGTGGGTATGAGAGCACGCGATGGTTCAGATTGTGGGTAAAGAGCAGTAGCGGTGGCAATCGGAGGGAGGCAGAATGGTACGCATGGCTGCACCGCCGCGCAGCGTGTCGCGAAGAGGGGCCGGATGGAGCAGTTGTTGGATAGGCGGGTTTGTGCAGGTGAAACGTAGTTCTTAGGGTGGCGGAGTCGCATGCGGGCGAAGCGGCCAATCGAACGAGGCTGCGAGCGCTTTTCCAACGCCGCTCTAGTTGGTGGCAACGAGCCAATGTGCTTGACGGGGTTCCTGGGTGGCACCGCGTGTGCGTAGTGTAGTGCATGTATGGATGTGGCAAGTCTGTCGGTATTATGTAGAGTGGTTACTTGGACAAACGTCAAGGGGGTGCGTTCACGCTGAGTCTCCTATTTTGCGCGCAAAGGGCCATGGTGCATAGGAGGGCGGCGGACATTTTGGGCACGTGGCAAGAGCGCAGGCGATGTTTATGTACATATGTATGTATGCATGTATGCATGTACTATTTGGATATGTACATAGTAGCGCAGTTGTTATGTAACGAGAGGGACGAGCGCAGGCTAGAGCGAGCCAGTGGTTATCGGTGGATTTCACGGTGCAGCGGTAGAGAAGGTGTAGTGTATGTACTTAGTATACAGTAGAGCACACCTAGCGTAAGGACTGTCCATGGAAGGGAGGGAGAAAACCGGATCTACAAGGACTGCAAGTGGGCGTAAGAATGAGGGCGAGCACAGCCTCCCGGCCGGAGTGCCGATTTCTTGCTTCTGCAGAGCCTCTCATTTGCCAGCTGCTCAACACCCAACCGCCCGAACTTGGAAACTGGGCAGTCTAATATAGCTCACTGGCTACTGGGGTCTACACCGGCTTTGGTAGCAGTAGCGCGCTTTTCTTACCGCAGTGTCGTCATGCCGCGATGGTTTTGCCTCGAGGGCCTCGCCCGGGTGCAGCTGCCAACGGCCCATTTGTCGACGAGTGGCAGCCATGCAGGCCGTGGCACTAATCAGGCTGTCGAGCACCGAGTACACTACATGCATTGATAGTTTTTTTGTGGCGGCGTTGCAGGCAATAATAGTAGCAGACGCCCAGGGCGGAGGCAGCGGACAGCGGGCGGACGGAGCAGGCCTCAACAGCGGCACCGCCCTCCCCCCTTTGCACGACGCCCGGCGCCAGCAGGCTGCAACCGTTGAATTGAGCTACGGGCGCGGGCTAGGGTGCAGCGGAAGAAGAGCGCCACGTCGATTGCATTTGCGATAAGGGCCGGGCTACTGCTATCGCCGGACGAGCGCGAAGGCGGCTCGCCTGGTGTGGTTTGATCAGCGCGGGGCCTGTCGATGGCGCCGCTGCGGTGTGTCGCTGCTCCGGACGTGGTCCAGTGCCGGCCCTCGCCTCAACGCACTGTCATGACGTGACATGTGGAGTGGGTACCAATGTGAAAAGCCAATGCAGTAGCGACACCTGAAGGGAGCACACAGACAGCAAGCCGCGGACAGCCCTGGCGGTGGGAGCGAGTGGAGAGCAGCGAGGCGAGTCGAGGCGAGGCGACACGAGGCCCAAGGAGAAGGGGGCGGTTTGGCAGACAACTGGGCGTAAGCCTCGTGCTTGTCCTGTCTGCCATGAAGATGCAAAAGTACACTCGTTCCTACTTACTAATGTAAGTATGTACACACACATAAGGCCGCCCGGTCTTGTAGGGAAACACGCTTCGGGCGTATACTATCGCCTGCCATCAGGCCGGTGCACGGCACCCCTTCCCCTCCCAATGGTGAGCGAGAGTGAATGTACATGGTACATGGTACTGCTCAACGGGAGCGGCCTTGTATTATCGATATGCAGGCAGATCGCAGATCCAAGAGCCACTGCAGACTGGCTGTCGCGCCGGCACTAGGTAGGTATACGCTCGCACTCGCAGGGCAGGTTTTTTTTTCCGCCATGGCGCGCAGACTTGATCGAGTCGCGGTGAGGACCCGAGACGTGTTGGATTGCCCATGCGGGCGGCGGGCATGCTTTTGTACTGCTGGTGCAGTCGTCGTAGACGCATGCCGTTTTTAGAGGGGCAACGCAATGCCCGGCACGTCACGGCCACGGCGGCGGATGGGGGCACCCATGCACACCCACCGTCTGACGGCGTTAGACCAGCTTGGCAGGCCTGCCTTTCATTTTCAGGGGAAGCTGCTAAAAAGCTCTTTGCCTGCCCATCCACATTCACTACCGTCGCTCTCTCAACCCCTCCCCCTCCACTCCCCATTGTCTGCTGTCCCGTTTCTCTGCATTGCCTCTCGTTTCACCGCGTCGAGGTTGTGTAGTCCATCTGCGGACGCTCTCGACTATCCTGGCCGGGAGCTACTACTGCTACTGCTACACGCAACCCTAATCCATCAACGCCCTGCGCAGAGCAAGCGCCTCGCCCGCCGCGCGTCTCTCCTGGCAACCACGACGCCCCCCCAGCTGCACCTCCAGCTATCCACTCGCTAGCAGCATCATCACCACTACCACGGCCATAACAACAATTCTTCCCCTCCTGTGCTCCGCCACTTGCACACTCGGCCCTTTCCGAGCAGCTGCACCTCTTACTACTACCCTTTCGCACCCCAAAGCGGCCTTTCACTCGTTCTCTCACGCATTGCACGCCACTGCACCAAGCATCAAAAGCACCTTGTCGTGCGGCAGCTGCAATTCCGCTATTTCCTCACTGCCGCTTGTAATGCCCATTGTTTGAGGTACGTCCGCCCTTCCGGCGCCGGCTGTTTCAGCCCTCGCCGCCCAGCCCCCGCGACCGTTACTGACAAGTCCGCCACGCAGATTCTACACACAACCCTAATAGCTTCCCACGATGTCCGGACATCCGCAGGGAGGCCACTACGACGACGGCTACGGCCACGCTCCTGCCCAGGGCCAGGGTCAAGGCCATGGTCAGCAAGGCCAGGACGCATACTATCACGATGACCAGTACGCCCAGTATCATGATGATCGCTCTCAAGGCCAGTATGCCCAGGGCCAGCACGGTGACGCCTATTATGATGAGTCGTAAGTCTTTGCCACGCCTGTCATTGCCCAGTGCATGCTGCTAACCCGGCTTGCAGAGCTTATTACGATGGCCAGCACGGCGGCCAATACCAACAAAATGGCTACTACGACGATCGAGGCCAGCAGGGCTACCAGGACGAGTATTACTCTGACCAGTACTACGATCAAGGTGGCGCGCAAGATGGTCAACCTCCTCGCCGCCGTAATGATTCCGAGGAAGACTCCGAGACCTTCAGCGACTTCACGATGCGCTCCGACATGGCTCGTGCTACCGACATGGACTACTACGGCCGTGGCGACGAGCGCTATAACAGTTACGCTGAAGGAAACCGCGGATACCGCCCCCCTTCGTCTCAAGTTTCATACGGCGGCAACCGCTCCTCTGGTGCTTCAACCCCAATCTACGGCATGGACTACTCCAACGCTCTGCCCGCTGGTCAGCGATCTCGCGAGCCCTACCCGGCCTGGACCGCTGAAGCCCAGATTCCTTGCACCAAGGAGGAGATTGAGGACATCTTCCTCGATCTGACTGCTAAGTTCGGCTTCCAGCGTGACAGCATGCGCAACATGTACGATCACTTGATGACTCTGCTGGATTCACGTGCATCCCGCATGTCGCCAAACCAGGCGCTGCTGTCTCTCCACGCCGATTACATTGGTGGTGAGAACGCCAACTACCGCCGCTGGTACTTTGCGGCCCATCTTGATCTGGACGATGCGGTTGGTTTCGCCAACATGAACCTTGGAAAGGCCAACCGCCGAACTCGCAAGGCCCGCAAAGCTGCAAAGGCCAAGGCAGCTGCTGAGGGCGGTAATGAGCAAGAGACACTTGACGCTTACGAGGGAGACAACAGTCTCGAGGCGGCCGAATACCGCTGGAAGACCCGTATGAACCGCATGTCGCAGCACGACCGTGTGCGCCAGATTGCGCTCTACCTCCTCTGCTGGGGTGAAGCTAACCAGGTCCGTTTCATGCCTGAGCTCACGTGCTTCATCTTCAAGTGCGCCGATGACTACCTCAACTCGCCAGCTGGCCAGGCTCAAACCGAGCCAGTTGAAGAGTTGACCTACCTCAACAACATAATCACGCCCCTGTACCAGTACTGCCGTGACCAAGGTTACGAGATTCAAGATGGCAAGTATGTTCGTCGCGAGCGTGATCATGCGGCCATTATTGGTTACGACGACATGAACCAGCTGTTCTGGTACCCTGAGGGTCTTGAGCGCATTGTTTTTGAGGACAAGTCTCGCCTGGTCGACATTCCCCCGGCTGAGCGATACTTGAAGCTCAAGGATGTCGTTTGGAAGAAAGTGTTCTTCAAGACGTACTATGAGCGCCGTTCATGGTTCCACATGGTTATCAACTTCAACCGTATCTGGGTCATTCATTTGTGTTCTTTCTGGTTCTACACTGTCGCCAACTCACAGCCACTCTACACCAAGAACTACCAGCAACAGTTGAACCAGACACCTGAAAAGGCAGCCACCCTGTCCGCTGTCGCTCTAGGAGGTACCCTCGCTTCGT